AACCTTTATAAGAAGGCTAATAAAGTATATAAGTAAAAGAAGTGCCTTAAGGAACTTAAGGAGTAGGTAAACTAAATAAACACTAAAGTTATACTCCTTAATAAGAAGTCTAATAACCTTAACACACTAACTACTTTTAAGGGTAGCCTATTTAAGAAGTTAATAAATAAAGTTAACTAAATAGCTACTAAGCTTAATAAATAAAAGGCTATAGTTAACCTTTAGGTCCTAGCTACTTAGCCTAAGGTTACTGCCCTAGTGACCTAGGGTAGCTAAGCTAATAAATACTACTATAACACTAATAATAATAACCTAGCCTAGGCACTACTAAAGGCTAAATAATCTTAATAGAACTTTAGAGATAATAAGTAATAAGGTTATTATATAGGAAGAAAGGTAATTTTTATACTTTATATTTATATATACTACTCTTTAGTATATTTTCTTAGTAAAAGAGGATAAAGTCCTTTAGAGGGGGGCACTTATTATAGGACAAGTGCCTTATATAGTAAATAGATAAGTAGGATATAGGATTACCTTATTAGTATATGTCTAGGTATATACCTAGGGGTATATATCTTATTACTTATTTCTTCTTATAAGAAAGGTTAACTTTAATAAATAACCTATACTAATACTTAGCTTTTGTCTTATGCTATTTATTTAGCTCTTTATTATTATTTACCTTGTTTTACTACTCTACTGTTATACTTTACTTTTGCACTATGTTACTTTATATTGCCTATTGTAGCCTTGCTCCTCCTGTTAGATCTATAATAGCTAGTAAGAAGGCTATATTAATAGCTACTAATAGAAGGTCTTTATACTTACTAGTTATATATAAGAGTAAATTAGTCTAGGCCTAGTAGTTCTTATTTAACCTATCTAGATATAAAGGATAGTACTTTATATATATAGATAATAGCTAGATAACTAAGAAGACTACCCTTAAGTAGCTAAAGAAGGTCTTTATCCTAGGTACTATACCTAGTAAGCTAGAGATAGCTAGACTACTAGTTCTAGATAAGTATTATAGCTATATATTAATAGACTTTATATAGGAATACTTCTAGAATAATATATATTTACTATATTTACTATTATACTCCTCTATTATCCTTTAGCTACTAGATATATTAGTCTTTAGCCTATTAAAGTACACTTATTAAAAGGAGATTAAATATCTAGATAACTAGGTTAGTAATTTAACTATTACTAGTAAAAAGGCGTTTTTAGCCTATTATATAAAGGCTAAAGATATAGCTATAATAGTCTAGAATATTAAAAGTAGCTAAAAGTTAACTAGACTATAGCTAATATATATATAGTAGCCTTTATTTAACCCTATAGTTACTAAAGACTAATAGACTAGCTAGACTAGCTAGCCTAGTAGCTAATAGTAGGATAAAGCTATATCTATTATCCTATAGTTAACCCTTTATTAGTCTACTAAATTATAGTATTAACTATACTAGTTAAACTAGTTAGTAGAGGATAAGTTAGATGCTTATACTATTTATTACTTATCTAGAAAAATATAAAAGGGGTATAATAAGTAGGCATCTAGAAACATGTTTTTAGAGTAAAAGGTCTACTAGCTAGAGGGTAAGTTAGATAACCTATAGTAATATAAGAGGAAAAAGGTCCCCCTATTGCCTAATAGTACCTTTGCTACTATATATGATATCTGGTGGGCGTAAACCCTGGATATTGGCGATATGGATAGTCTGGATGAATCTAGCGCATCTAAATTACCTAGTGAGGCCGGAAGTTGTATATGGGTGGGCAGCAGAGGTGGTGAAATAAGTGGTAATAGTGGTGGTGATGGTGGTGGTGATGATGGGCCGGATGTGGGGGGTAGCCGGAAGTAGGGTAGTTGAGTTATTCAGTACGGTTTGAAAATCCTTCAGCCATTTCTGGCATCCAAAACAAATGGTGTCGACCTGGATCTATGTGCCGCTTCGCCCGCACCGTACGTCATAGAGGACTCGATGATACAGTTATTCTAAAGATACGTTCGTCTTGCAGTAAAACGCCCGCTCGAAAGATACGAGGCACGTCCTCGCGGCAAGGCAGAGCGATCAATGGTTCTCAAGTCGATTCTCCCTCAAAGTTTTGAAAACGTCCAGGAAGCCGTCAGATGGTTGGATCTTATCCACAATGCAATATTTTTCTGTCTTTTTTACTTCAGCTTCAAGGGAAAACCCCTACGGGGAAGGTAGCGATCCAGTCTCGGATAACAGATGGCGAAGAGAGCAGCTGCTCTTCCTAGGAATCCTCGACGGTTGGGCCGCTGCGCTTTTGCCCTTGCTAAGGAGAGAAAATCACCCAAGATGCGGCGCCCCGAAAAAGACTATACTCATAACATCACTAAAGATACAGTGGAACAATACGTACATATTTGTCTACACCTCACATTATCACGACTACCAAGGGCTTCGAGAAATGGAGCCAAGATTCAGAGACATCGTGGATCTGGCAACAACTATAGTAGATTCACCAGATCAAGCATACCGAGTCACGCCGTTAAGCATATCCGGTGTTGTTCTTTCTCTTTTCGGTATGTAGCTGTTTCTTGGCGCCCGCTGCCCAGCACTTATCGGGCGGTTGATCTGACCATCGAGATACAGTGGTAGCCAATAAGTGCCGCGATGCTTGAATACGGGCGTCAGCTGAAGAGGTATTGAAAAGGATAAATCATCGGGCCGATGGGCTTTGGGACAGCCGTGCAGCTTTGGCTCTTGTCCGACGGGCAAGGGAAACAGAGGATACGTGTGCTTCGCAGCTTACCGACCCTGAGGAGGTATGGAACCTGGTCCGTAATCGATACATTATCTTCAATGATCGGCAAAACCAAGCCACCGTGGGATCTCAACGGCAAATTGGTTTATCGAGAGGAGGTAGTTCATCGGTGACTTGGCCAATCCTCACTCCTCTCAATCGACTGTCTTCTAGTTTGCCACGTCTGACACCTATCGAACAAGTGGGTTTAGGCGTGAACAAGTGCTTACTTCCCAACAAAACCGTTATGGTATGTCTTCGTAGCTGGGTCCAGGGCTGTCATCAAGTGGCCAGATACTCTCTTCCCCACTATGCCACATATTGAGATCTGACAGCCAGGCCAAGAAGTATCCATTGAAGAGCTCTACGAAGGGTCAAGACAATACCTATAATTAATCAACTTGTAGAGTGACTGCTTTCACGGCGTTAGCCTCACAGAGCGCAGCAAACCCGTTGATGATTAAGATGGCGACCCTCTGTTAACCCGATGCTAGGTAATAATCACTAACCAGAATAGAACTATTGTATATCATCATAGAGATCTAACATAGGAGCACTTGAATACTCCCCGTTGACGTATCTAAGCCTTCTACTAGCACTACACAATGAATCAATCACCTTTTTACCTTCCTCGCCTCTTTTTTGTCACTCACGATAACCTTACTAGTCTTAATGTAATGGCATTCGACTGTCCCCAATTTCGTATGCCATAGGCCATTGCCGTCAATACAAATGTAGCTGAAAATCATTTAAAGCTTAAAGACTCGAGCCTTGTGGATGAACGTGAGATAATTTCAACCCATGTGTTGAGAGACACCCGAGCTTTTGATTTCCTGTTTGGTTTCCAAGTCAAGTTTCTCATATTTTCCCAAATGTGTATACCGAAATCATCAAGAGAAGGAAGAAGTTGGCAAGTCTGACCGAAAGAACCCTCTTAGTCCTCCACGGTTCATACTAGTGATCCTAAATGCAACATTTGTCAGACATCATGGAATCTGAGTCAGTGGCACAACTATAGGCCATAATATTACTCTAAACCGCTATACTTGGCAAGTCGTGGATCAGAGCAACGAAAATTCGTCAATCTCCGTTAAGTTCCAGTTGTGGCATCTACCGTATATTCGACGGAAAGACACCATTAGCTATCTCCATAAAGTAGAACTATACATAACTTAGCATGATGCCCATAACTAGTTTCATCGCTCTTTACTATACGTCCTTTCTCGTCATCGAGCCACTGCCATCTCTATTTACACCCCAATCCCCTCTGTCTGAACCTTTTGTCAAGACCACGAGGACATAAGAAGAGCCAATACGCCCGTTTATCCATGCTATGTTTCGTTGAATTTTCTTTGACCTTTAATCATTATCCAATATCATTCAGACAAATTTACAGCAGGTTACTGGCCTTGACTGTATGCGCCGAAGTAGTTTACACGCAGGGGCAGAATAAATACAACGTGTGCGAGATGACCCCAGGAAACAATATCTTGTGGCTACTCCCGGTGGTTTATGAAGCTCCCTTCTGTCAAATAGTTTCACAACAAACAGGTAAATGTACTTTGCCCCTTTCATCACTCTCCTTGCCTTCGTGTTCTCCGAGAATGGCAGATCAACAATAGTAATTCATGTTAGGTTCTACGCACAGCTTTGTTCGAATGTTCAACCCGTACGGTTCTTATGAGCATGTGAAACATCACAAGCTGCAGACGGCGAGTAATGATGTTCATATTTGCTCAGATCCGAGCGAACATACTTCTACCTTGATAGGATGTACACTTAGTACGTGTAGCTCAAATGGGCCTGCAATCAGGTATATCCCTCGAGCCATATCATGTCTGAATACGGGCTTTAAGATTACACAGGGCCAAATTCCTGAAGTCCCGAGAAAATAGGGAGTGAAAATTCCGATCGACACTGGTCAAAATTCTATGATAAGAACGTTCGTTGACGAATAGCTCCTGCTACAGCAAGACGTATCGTGGTGTTGTTAAACAGTGCATGTTGCCTTAAACCGGCCATTCTAACGCTTCAAAGTACTACCCAAATTGACTACCTTCAATTACAACTCATATACTCTTCCTCGTCGTTCACTCCACATTTGTAGGCCTCGCCGTCGGGCGATCGTATTATGCAAAATCTTCCAGAAGATAATCTTGACAGAGGAAGCTGTCTTGGCTTATAGCCCATGACCAGCGTAGCTAGCTCGGGAGGGCTACTGAGACATCGCCGCATGCTTGGATAGACAATCACAGGGCATTCTTCCTTGGAAGCATTGATCATCTGCCAGCGTCGAGTCAGCGTATTCGCACCTTCAATAATGACTGCGCTTTGCTTGCGCAACGAATTACCCACAGGATATCTGGCATACGCAACACAATAACACAATGGAGTTTATAGCTCATCTGCTGTTTCGAAGGCTGCCCTCTTCTGACAGTGTACATCCCGATTGAGCAATAATACGACACAGGCTGGCGTGTCCATTAATGGCTGGGGGCTTCTCTTCGTTGCCCACATTCCGTGAGACCTTGCTGGATTTGCCACAGAAAACACCAGTTTCGCCTTCAGGATGGGTCTGCTAATCTTGGAGCGTCCCCTGATTTTCCTATTCTCCTCCACTGGCCGAGGACATTGGGCATCAACGCCCTTCAACCCTCCAGTTTTCCATAGCCTCGGCACGAGTGACGACGCCGAAGCGAAGGGAAAGATCATCGGGAACAATCCGCCGCGATCGACATCAAGCAAGCTGAAGGCCAAGGGGTTCCTAGGCACTCGGGTGATGAAAAGAGATGGCCGCTTTTCCCACCACCACTACTACATAGCAACCGGCCGTCTTTTTGTCACTTGGGCTAGGTCACAGGTACACTTACTTGCACAATTGATCATTACCCGTCGGCGACGTCTCCGCTTCGAATGGGTCAGCGACCCGAGGGAATGGCAGCGTGGGTCAGTTCCACGAGCTGACGGAAAACGGTGGAGGCGTCGTCGGGAGGGCAGCTGGGGGGGTTCTCACTGTCGTACTAATCAGGGAACAGCTTGTATCAACATCCCAGATTACCGTATTCAGCAGACCACAAAGATATTCGACGCTCGCTTGGACAAATCTGTGTGCTCCTCTCCTTCTGTACAGCTGCCCCCTGCAAAGCCGTTAGGTAACTATACAATGAATCCTCAGGCGGTGCCGCAAATGTCCCGTGCGGGCAAACGGGAGTGGGCGGTGGTACGGGCAATCATCCTGTCGGGGAAACCCAACGCGTCGGCACGGAAGACCAGTAAGTAAGAAGAAGCTATGCTTGCTTTTCTCAGTTGGCGGAAATTGGGGGGATACCACTTTGCCGTCTCACACGCACCGAAGCACCGTCACATGACGCCAACCACTTGCGTCCAATGAATGCCATCACGAAAGGATTTCGCCCGAGCGAGCGGGGGTAACGCGCGCACATCAGCTTCCATGTCCCTGAGGCCGGCGGGTCTCGAGATGGTTCTTGACGCACATTGCACCGCGATCGACCGTGTCACCCTTCATTGCAGTTGCGTCGTGCGCCCCCCCCTTCCCCCTTCGCAGAGAATGAAGTGGAATGCAATGTTGTGGCCAGCCATTTTACGTTACGCGACAGACAGCGACAAGGTCAGGATGGAGCCTTATTGTGTCATTAAATGAAAGCCGCCAGGGAAAGATGCCCGTATCGGAAGTATCGTCCGCAACCCATCTCACGAATCAGATTCCGGATCCATGCCATTGGGAACGCCGCAACAGCCGTCTGGGACTCAAGGTGATTGGTGGAGTTTCTCCGTGGCCTAACATTAATCGTGCTGGTGCCGGCCATGAGTGCCACAGTGACCCGAGCTGTTGGGTTTTCGTGATGCCCCAGGTCAGATTGGCAGAAGGCGGAACTCTCACCCGGTCCCGGTTCCATGAGAAGCATGAATCATGAATCATTATACCCTCGTTTTCTCCATCACTCTGATGCTATCGAGAAAAACTCCGCCTGCCCCAAAGAGGCGGGACGGCCGGTCATGATCCACGGCGTTGCTCCATGCGTATGGCAGGGCTGGCAGGCAAAGGTTGCAATCACGACCTTTTGTCAAACGGGCGCTTGATGAGATCGAATGGTGCATAATTGGATAGTTAAGTACCCACACGGGCTTCACCGCCGGCAAGAGACGAGTTATTGACAGGAGGAGGGCGCCGTTCATAGTGGGTGAGGTCACTTCGCTTGTGCGCGCAGACGTGTGAAATTGTGTCCCAAGCCAGCCGTCAGAGATTAGATTGATAGCTCGTAATATCTTATGCTATCCCTTATGAAGCCAGCGATATGTTTCAGGCAGAGATCTCTGCTTTTACATTCGATCCCAGGACAGACCCGACGAGGAGGGCAGGGGAGCAGGGAATCATTTGAAAACAAGTGCTGCTGCCGACTGAGTCTCTCGACCCCCCGTCCCCTGCGCTAGAAGCCAGCTAGAAAACCACGATTTGGGATGACAATTCTTCAGCGCAAGGGTTCGCCTGACTCGCCGAAACTCCATATCACGACCTGCGGCCCTGTAAGAGAATCTCATAACCTTTAGCGAGACATCTAAAAGAGGCAAGAGCAGTAGTCAGGTCAGGTCAGATACCCCCCACAATGGTCGCCTTACATGTACTCTCAGCGAGACTAGAGTTCCCTGAACACACAGCTTGACCGGTGTGGAGCCAGCAGGACGCTTTTCATCGATATCTCTTTAAGGCCAAGAGGATTTGCAAGACGCCCGCTTGGCGAGACCCTAGAAAACTCTAAACTGCCCAGGGCCATGGGGGACGATAGCTTTGGAGATCTGACGTATTACATTGGCCGACTCAGGCCAAGGAAAAGCAGATGTTTGATGTCGTTACATAGAATACGGCATGGGCCTGGTTAGAGCGCTATGACAGACATCGAGGCTGCTTGGTTGTGGTGCCTCGGTCCGGAGATGTCGTTACGATGCCAGAGAGTCATATCGTCGATGATATAGTAGGAGTCAGGCTGTTCTGCACGCAAGAGCAGACTCGCCAACAAAGTACACTTGCTGGCCATGGCAAAGCACTTAGGTCGCACTGAGACCTACTACCACGTCTCACGTGAATCACTGCCCGCCGATCACGATGGATGAAGGCGCATGCACCAGCCAATGGCCTTCAACAGCCCCGTCGATCCCGTATCGAGATGCACCGTTGCAGCAAAGAGAGAGAAGAGAGTATTGTCGACCAAAGACGGCCGGGAGATGACGGGAGCGTCCGACCTACAACGAAACAAAACACATCGGACGAGACGCGATCGCAGGGGAAAACAGAGCACCGGCCGTCGGGCTTCTCCGGGACAAGCAAGTGGAATCGTCAGGGCCGTGAAAGGGGGGGGGGGGGGAGGGTTGTTGATCGGTACGAATTCCCCTTACAGCGTCTTGACAGGCATCGCACGGGTCATTTGCGTCTATGTATGGGATGGAACATGGGACTGTGGCAGACAGTCGGTCGGATCTAACCCTTCACTAAAACTGGGGAGTCTATGAATACCGACCGCAAGCTTGCTGAGTCAATCACGGGGAAGAGTCAACGAGAGTCCAAAACACAAGAGATGCCTCTCTTTGCGGGGAGGACGAAGCGCATGTGAGCCTCCTTTCGCTTGGGCCTAGGACATGCATGGGCGAGTCAACTCCCGCCAAGGTCGTCGATGAGACAGACCCGTCGTGAGCCCAATGATCAAGTACCATCCTTGCCAAAGACGAGGAGATGTACGTGTACGGCCATTCATCCATGCGCGATGCTACCGGTATGGGGCCGGACGGCAAGCCGCGCGGGGTGGCTGACGGAAAGGGCTGCATCGCTGAGAAGCGGCGATGGAACCATCCTATACTAATTTGGTGTCCTACTATAGTATACACGGCTTTCGTCCGTTGTCGTCTCCTGACACAGACGACACTTCCACGCGGCGATGGGATCAATATTCGTGTGGGACTAAGGCCAGTTGGCAGAGAGCACCAGCTGAACAGAGCGAAGACTAACGAAAGGCAAAGTGGATTTGGAACGATCCCCGAGAACGAAAGACAATGGTGACCGGCGACGCCTAGCGCCTTCGTATGGTTCCCACAGCGAGCGGAGATGGCAAAACTTGGTGTTAAAAAAACGGCAACGGTTGGTAGACGTGAAAGGAGATGAGGAGTAATAAACAAGGTTGCCTTTAGCATGGCTCGTCAACGGCGCGCAGGTCCCTGAAAGATGTTGTTGCCAGGTGCAGAACAAGCGGTATGGTAACCTAGGCAATGTCTCGAACATCATCTACGCAGAGGTGATGATGGGGGAGGAGGTTGGCACTGTCTCCACGGCTCTGGGAGTATCCAGTTCAATACGATGATGTACACGTTGAGACACCAATGCAGAGACTAGCGCCGGCACCTTCAGAGCGAATTGACAAGGGGGGGAGAAATATCAAGCGGCACGTGGTGGTATTGGAATGGACTCTCGCCCTGACTGAGTTGACCAGTAACGGACTGCCTGGTGATCTGCGCAGGGCCATGTGCCTTGTATCTATCTCTGCCTCTCGAGACTTATCAAGCTGCCAACGGCGCAATATCGGATTACCGGGGGTCCTGTGAGACGCTAGATGCAGACGCGCGAGGCGAGTCTCCCTTCTGGTATGCGCCATTGGCATACGATGATGCGGAACCGAGCATGGGTGAAATACGGATGGACACGCCTCGATTCCTCCGCCAGGAAGGTTGTAAATATCGGGGATTTATTATTAACCTTAGGCACAGTAGCGGGCGGTTTGTTGGGCCCGGAACATACTTCTCTGGGATATCAGAAGCGACATGGTCATAGCCCTCCCCCCCGGGCCGTTATGGGAGCATGCGTGCTACTCTCCAGGGCGTCCTCGAGAGGGACCGCCTTGGATTGGCACCTTGGTACTACTACTCTCCAGGTGATTCCTGGCAAAAAAGGTCACGATGCTTGTTTGAGGTGACTCTCCGAGTTTCGTTAACCACGGAAGATGCCGTCGGCATCGCCATCGGCATCGCCATCGGTACCTTTACCGTAGTAAGGGGGGGGGGGGCGCCGTGAACGTCCGGCAAAGGGTATCATGATATCTCTCCAGACTTGCTCAAGGGCAGCTAGTAATACGCCCGTTTGGTTATTGAAAGACCGCATGGCCGCCTCCAATGCCGTTCGGTCCGGGCCTGTCCCACCGGCACACCCTGCGGCTGGCTGGCATTAGCCTACACTTGCCCGTCATGCGCGAAGTGGACTGAAGACCCTTGCCTGTAACTTTCCTTTTTCTTCATCATCATCTACTGTACATCATACATCATGTCTCCTCGACGCGAACGCGGGAAGTCGACAATGCACGGTACCGCCAGCTCGCTCTACCCACGCACGCATGCACGATGAGCAGGGCTAGGTATGCACAACCATCCCTTGACCTTCGGCTCTTGCCCATCCCTGCTGGGGTCTGGTGTCCTTCATCCAGGCCCCGGTCAGTACGTACAGGTAGAGTGCATGGGAACAGTCCCATACCGGTAGATGGCTCAGGTGCAAGTCCTTGTCCCTTCGCTAGCAATTTCTCCCCTGGTCCTTTTATGTATAGATATAATAGTATAATTGTTTGTTTTATCTTTTCTCTTATTATTTTTTATTCCTTAGTCTTGAACCCCTCTTCCGGAGCCAGCTCCTACCCTCCCTCCCTCCCTGGATTGTCTCGTTACTTAGTTTTACTAGTGAGGCGAGAACTCGAAAATCACCGCTCAAGCCCCTTGGAGGGGGGGTAGCAGTCGTCCCGGCGGTTTTTGCGCCTTAGTGGCATGCACGATCTCTGCCTCCACGACCCCCCCTGCGGGAAGCTCGAAAGTCATGTGTTCTCAGGGCCCCGTTGCCTGGTCGTGATTGGCGAGGAAGTAAAAGCAAGAAGTGAGGGACAGGGCACATAGATGCAACAGTCTTGGACAGAACAGAACAGAACAGCGGCATTGCGGCTGGGAAACGTATCCACGTCCAGCTCTCTTCCCCCCCTACCAAGTCCCCCCCAGCCGGGTTAGCTTCGCATTTAAGGGAAAACTCTCTTTCGTTTGCACAAGCTCTTTCTGGCCTGGTCTGGTCTACATGGTAGGACTGCTACCAAGGCCGGCCAGGGATCATCGTCGCAGAGGGCGAAGCGTTGCTATACTACTAATTCGGTTTGCGTGGCTCCCTCCCCTCAATCTTGCGACCTGGTCAAATGGAGCCCGTGAGAGACAAGCGGCTCGAGGGGACCAGCCGGTGCCTGTCTCGCAATGTTTGCGCCCCTCGGCTCAGAAAGGATGGGTCCCTGGCGCGGTGCTACCTAGTGTCAAGAGCCAACATGGGGGGGGAAGCTGCCCTACGGCAAGCCACGCACTATCGGAATGATGTGCGACGGTGCTACGTCTGGAGTGAACGGCATCCTCCAATGCTGAGGTCGTCTGTTTGGCTCGTCTGCTCTCGCCCCTATATAGCCCGGCGCGGCGAACGGACCACTGCGAAGGAGCAAGAAGCAGCGAGTCCTCCCCCCCATTGGCCATCAAATCCAACCCCTTATTGTTCGCCTGCCTGCCTGCCTGCCTGCACCGAACGTCAGTCGACCTGGACGTGACGCCAGGTATGGGTTGGCGACGTGGAGGCATGATGGCAAAGCAAACGACGACAGAGCAGATCAAACCCGGTCATCCTGAGTGCATGTACAATGTGGTTTAGGTCGTCTACCAGAAAACGGGGCGCGGCAGAAGGCGAGCAAGGGTTGCGTCACCGGCTGGCTTGTATTCTGTACTATGTACTCCGTACTTACTGCTCGACAGGAGGGTGGGTGTACTAGTAGTAGACTAAGGAGGGAAAATGGTACCGCCAGAGACAACGAAAGGAGGGTTCTCACAACCCCTGCCGTGCCATGCCATGTCATGTCATGCCATGCCATGCCATGCGATGATGCTTTGGGCTCTGGGCATGGGCTGGCCAGTCCACGCCGTACTTCGTACCTAGACTACTGCCATCTACATACCTACACTACGTGATCGGCCAGCAGAGCCTGTGCTGTGCAGCGGCACTGTGTGAGAGGGGGGAGTTACTTGGCCCAAGAGGATCTGCTGAAGCTGAAAGGAGAGGAGAGGAGAGAAGGGGAGGGGGGGGGGGCAGAGGAAAAGATTGTCCACGCTACCTGGTCAGAGTTGAGTTGGAGCACACTCCCCAAAGACGGCACGCAAACTTTCGCACACCCCCTCCGCTCGGACCCGAAGTCTGAGGGACAGACACACTCGGACGATGAGCAAGAGCCTGAACACTAGTAGTACGCGTGCCTCTCTCTCTATCTCTGTCGGTCTGGTCTGTCTGTGTGTCTGCGAAGTACTACACGCGCACGTTGTTTTCTACCCGATCCGCCCCCTTCTGTCTTCTCAATGGCCCAAATAGGTAGCCAGACTAGGTTGTAATCTCTGGGGTGCGGCAAGCAAGCAAGCATCAAGGGGCAATCATAATTCTGGGGCCATGATGCTTGCTTGCTTGGTCGCTCGCCCGCCAGTCTGGTCTGGAAGCGGCCCAGCCTGGGACTCAGACCGTCAGTCTATCATTCCAGTGTCTTGCCCAACCAGTCCTCCTCTCTCTCTCTCTCTCTCTCTCTCTCCCCCTCCCCTCTTCTCTACGGAGTACAAACTATACCCCCCCCCCCCCCCCCCAAGCCCGGCCGTTTACTTCACACATACCTTCCGACGTAGCGGTACTTCTGAGCATAAACCTTGCATCGCCCAGGGATTTCCCTTCCGCCTGGGTTCTCCAAGCCCAGCCCATTGACGAACAACCCCGTCCCCGAGTCGAGTCTCCAAGCCTTAAGCTATATACAGAACGGCAACCGCATCACACAGCACCTCCACGCTCTGTTCTGCTCAAGCCCACACACCACTCACCTCGAGAAACAACACTCGGCTCTTCTTTCAAATACAGAACGTGCCCGCCATCCTCTCTCTTTTTCCGCCTCACGACAACTTCATTCCTAATATATCCTTACTTGCTTAGCCTTGCCTTTTGCTTCGATACTTCGTCCAGACGTTACCGTATCCCGTACCTATCGAGAGCTCTGCCGCCAAACCCCCCGCGTACTTGTTCGACTGTACCACTTGCGGATTCCCGCCGCCGCCGCCGCCACTCCATCTATTATCCTGTCTTCGGCCTCGACTTACACCCGGAGACCCGTTAAACAACGTCCGCAGCCCCTCCGGCTTCCTCGGCAACGCACCTCGGGAGAGAAACATGTGCAACTACACTCAGGTGCGTGTTTCGCGAGCTCGAATCTCGCAGCGACGAGGACGCCCGAAAGGCTGACATGTCCCCCCTTCGCAATCTCCAGAGAGAATTCAGTTGCAACCACGTCCGCTGGATCGTGTCCCGCTGGTGCCCACTCTACGCTCGCACACAACGCCGCTGCCCTCCTCATGTTACCCACTGCGAGTACAGGTACGTCTCCGATATTGCTTTTCGTCCCCCTTCCCACGCCTCCACATATATGCAGATCACCCGGGTGTAAGCCAGCCAGCTGGTTTCTCGCTTCGCTTTTTGACACACAATCTCGTACACGGCAGAGTGAACACGAGCTGACGCATGTCGATAGGGGAAATGAAGTCTGCGGTATGTTTTTTTTATCTTCTCTTTTTTCTATCACCCTGCCTAGACAGTATGCCCACTCTGAACATCCCGTTCCGTCCTGTCGCGCACATCACATCACCAATTAGGGACAGACAGGGGTGTCCGTCTGTCTTCTGTTGCCATGGAAGAGCGCGCGGTCCCCCCCCTCCCCCCACCCACCACCCCCTTCACCGTCTACCCAGCTCCCAAGCACCTGGAATTGGGGCGGACATGGGTGGTGGGCAGCAAGTCTGTGGTGACCAAGTGTCGCCATGTCCCCGTGGCAGCTGAGGCGGACGGGGATGCACCCGTGCCGTGGCGGATGATGCGGTTATGCCTAATTCCACAAGGAGGAGAAACATGGACTGACACGGTCATATCACAGGAGAATGCAAGCCCACAGCACCCATCGTCTGGGAGAGCATGATTAGGCGCAACAACGCGCCTGTCCGCCTATAGCTCGCTCCCAACGAGGGGGAACTCGCTCGCAGGGCGCGCGCAGATCCCGGCGGCTGCACGCCACTTTTCATCACATATCGTATTCCATCGCTGCCGTCCTCGTTAACCTCCTCCGGTCTCTCGGGACAAGCATGTCCGGAGACGCCATCTCGTCCGAATTTTCGCCCTTGATTACCTTACCGTTCTGCCTGCTACAGTAGGCTTCTTTAATGAGCCCGGAGATTGGGCAAGGGGGTGTGCACACCTTTTCACGTACAGCACTCTCGAAAGCCATGGTTGAAAGGAGGGGGGGGAGAGGGGAAGCATGGCCGCCACACAGGTCGACCACGCACCACCACCAACACTACCGGATTCCTTGGCTGCGGAACGACCTAAATCTAGCTCTTTCGACCAAGCTGCATCGCACTAGCGCAGCGTTCCGAGAGCTCGACTGGACCGGCGCTATCGCTAGTTTCGAGACTTGTTAGGAATGATACGTCGACGCCACGCCGGCCCAAGAGAGAGAAAGGAAATGAAGAACCGAAACACCAGAAACCCGACATTTTTGAGACATCAGGGTCTCAACCACGCTGATCCCGCATGGCATGGCCTCCCGGGCTCTGTGGCTGATTATGACAAGAGGAGGGAGACTCGGAAGTCGGGGTTTCAGAACGCGCGCGAAAAAAGAGAAGAAAAAAAAAAAGAATAATAAAAATCATTCGAGGGTAGGGGGAGGTTGCAGGGCCCTGCACCTCGACAACAGCGTTTTTTTTTCTTCTTCTTTTTTTCCCCCCCTGATAAGAGGGGGGTTTTTCCCTTTGCGTCGCGGACACACAGCATTGCGGAAGGGAACATGAATATTTCACACGGCGCAGCGGCGGGAACCAAGCATCTCGATTTCCCACAGGAGGGTGGGAAACAAACATACAAACGGACAAAGCGGATCGACATTTTGCAACAGCGTCCCAGGCGGATGGGGAACGGAAACGGTGTCGCGAACCATGCAACTCTATAATTCGGGCGGCTATGCCGAACGCCGTGCCGGGCCAAGGCCCGAAGGAAGTTGGAAAAGGGGGCGCGGGGGGGTTCAAGTAACCACCGTCACCTACTGTCCTCTCCATCACGCCTCTGGCACATGTGCCGACGGCTACTCATCTCTCGTTTCTCCTCTATTGGTCTGCGGCTAGCCGGCATGGCCCGCGTCTTGCCCGGCGAGGCTTTAGACCATTCTCCCGGCCACCACCGTCACCATTATCTTACGCAAGGCCAACGTCGCCATCACATACAGAGACGTTTGTCGATCCTCAACAGTTTATCGTTTGTACATTGGGGGAGCCTGCGGCATTTCCAACAGGCCAAGATTTGTGTTTTTGCTCATACTATGTCACTTTCTATGTTTTATTCATCCCTCAAAAAAAAAGGGATGACTGTTTTGAAACGGGCGACGGGGGGAGGAGAGGCGCCGGACAACTGGAGTTTTGGAAGGGTTGGGAGTTCGCAAGAGTTGCCTACGGGTTGACCATGCTGGAAATGTCACGGAGCTTTTTTGGGGAGCTTTTTTTTGTTTTTGCCAAGATTTGTTTTTCTGTCAACTTGTTTTATGCATATGCTCTGTGGCGTTTGCTCCTGTTCCTCACCCCTTCTTCGTCTTCACAAAACCCAAGCCGGGGGGGCGGATGGGAAGGCAAACACTTTCCGTTACTTATCCGAGAACATGTATTCTTATTATTCATGTTGGTAGACAGCACAGTATGAATGGCGCAGTGGTGCCGACCCAGGCGGGGGGGAAAAAAAAGTAGAAAAGAGATTTTTTTCAAAATATAATTTGTACATACATATGCATGCTTTGCTTTCCCCCTCCCCATCCCCCACCTTCGCCTTTGTCAGTTTGGGTTCGTGACTTTTTCTCGTGGAAGTTTGCGCAGAAACAGCCCTTGCCCGCCTTGCCTTTCTCTTCTTCTTCTTCTTCTCTCCTCAGACTTGAGGGGCTGCTTAGAGTTCGTTCGGCGGGCTCCGCGATGGCATTCTCTGTCGCGCTCGGCACACAAACACAATGGATGCCACAGGTCGCCTGGTGATTCGCAAGTGTAGTGCAGCGCAGTGCAGCGCAGCAGCAGATGCCGGCATTCTGCATCGTTTAGAGCACCTTGCCCGGTATGGTTTGGTTTGGTCTAGCCTGACACGCTATGCGCACACATACACACCCGCATGCACACATGAGCCCCTCCGTCCTCTCCCCTGCGGTTCTGGCCAATCCGTTAGATGGGATGACCACCAGAGACGAGATGCTCTCTCTTACAAGAGCGAGCTAGGTAGGCAACAGGGGCCCCTCGATATACTGGTTCTCAACACTACGTAACGTGTAGCAGGACCAACTAGCTTAGCTATAAAATGCTGCAGCGTATGGGCGAAGCAGAATCAGTGTGCTGATCATGTGCGGTGAACATGAGGGATGAGAGGAAGCAGGGGAGGAGGGCTCTGGACAGGGAAGTGTTGAGGGGTGGTTGTGTTAATCGACCACTCATTCACACGTCACAGGGTTGTTGCTCGACAGACTAGCCCATGCAACTGGCGATGTATGGGATAGGACCGAGGTAGCAGGGGGGGGGGGGGGGCAGGGAGGGGGGACAGTTGGCAGACAAGCAGTGGTAGCAGCAGCGGCAGCAGCAGCAGCAGTAATAACAGATTGAGGGTGCGAGAAGGATTGACCGGTGAAGAGGCAGTGCAATGTGCTGTTGTCATCCTCGTTGGGCGCTGTATTACGACGAGACCGGCCACGACGCGCGGTTGAAAGACTAAGTTGGGTTGGATTTATCTGGGGACATAGGATAAGTGACAACGTGGTGTGATATCGGGCATCTCTGTGCACGTCGGGCTGGGTCACTGGCCGGCTGACTGAGCCGCATGGTGATAACCGGTTGGCGCCGGCCTTCGTCGTCGAAAGTCGTGGGATTGCCAATAGTCCGGCTGTGTTGCTGAGATGGACGCCAAAATCACTCATCCACTCAGTCGCGCGCGCGAGAGCTGACTGCACGGCCCATTGGAACCATCTTCTTACGGGGCCCGGTGCTGCCCAGCAATTACTGATGCCAAGCGAACTACAGGTAAGGGAAAGAAGACGAGAATATGCCATGTGTTCGGTGAAGTACTAGGTGAAGACCACGGTGTGAGGCGAGTCCGGAACGGGCAAGGATCCCCCCAGGGCGATAGGAAAAGGAACCCCCCCTCACCTCAAGAAAGCATCAAGCGGGTGCTGCCGTGGGGTAGAGCTACCCTGGTTAGATAATTAGGGAGAGGAATGAGTTGAGGAGGGAACGAGACCCGAGCCTCTCGGTCTGATTGGAGACCCCCGAGCAAGACCACGAGAACCCCTGTGCGGGCTGGCTTACGCTTGGGGTCCCAACTCTCGCATAGTTTGAAAGAGGTCCCGCATATTTTGAAGGCCGCTCGACGGTAATGCCGTGTCTTGGAATGGAAGAGCCAAACCTTGTCTAACGTGGGAGGAACAGGATAGAGAACCAGCGAGAGAAAGAGAGAGAGAGAGAGAGAGAGAGAGAGAGAGAGAGAGAGAGAGAGAGAGAGGGTGGCTACCGGTAGTGCTGTCTAGCGTCTTACCTCTGGGGGAGGGGGGCAGACGGTCATCTGAAGTGGCTGCGCCGTCAATGATGGGCATGAGCCCGGCGGATTGACAGCAACGTCGACGGACGACGATTTGCGTGCGACAGGGACGTACGTCTCGCCGTGGGATGTAAGTGATGAGGGGGGGGTGAGTGGGTGCTTGTGAGCTGGGATGACTATGTACCGTACTACTAGAGGGCTCCTCTTACTTGTCCAGGTACTCGCGGATGACGAACACGCATACAGATGATGACAATGAGGGTTTGCTTTGTTGGCACTCGGGATACCGCCGTACATCATCATCGCCATCATCATCGCATCGGCCGAGGCAGGTTGGGCACTGTCCATCCCGAGCGGAAGTCGAGAGGACACACACACATACGACCGGGTCGAGAACATCTGGGCGGCGCGGCGGTACATTCGAGTCACGGCGGCGTCAGGCACGGCGGAGTGTTCATTGGCGTGTGCCTTTCGGGCGCTCGCCGGGGCGAAGACGCCCGCGCCCAAGGCGTTGCGCGCGCACCTTGCCTTGACGATGCAGGGCGTTCGCGGGGCGGTCGATGATGTCTGGCTCAGGGCCGAGACACATCGCTCGTTGCGTGATGCGAGCAAGTGAGACGCAGGCGGCGGCGTCCTACATGATTCGCAACCTAATACCGGTGTGTAGGCTCGGCGGCGTGTAAGACACGACGAGCCCGCCCTGCTTTTCTTCTCTCCAACCACGATCAATGGGCGCCAACACGCCCTCTAGGCTTTGCCACCGCTTCAATTTTTTTTTTTTAGTTTGGGCATCGTTTAGGGACCGAGAATCAGCAATTTGTTCAGCCGAAAATCCCCGTGCCATATCGCGCGCCCTGTCGCTCCTAGCTGGTTTAAGCCAAGCGACATTTGTGCGTACGGGGGGTCCTGGACAGTCCGCGATGGTCGGTCGGCGGTGCATTTAGGTCCGGCGTCGTGGCCCCAGCCAGGCTGTTCATGTGGTATTGGTAATACAGCTTAGCCTGACTGCAGCAACGAGCCCATCATTTCACCACCGCCCAACTTGGGTGACCGGTGAGGCTGTGGATACCAGCTTTCGCCCGCTACTGGTCTGATATCAAGCTGGTCACAGGCGTCTCCCCCCCCTCCTCTCTCTCTCTCTCTCTCTCTCTCCACAATGGCCAGGTCCCGTTGGCCAAATAGCGTGGCAGCTGGTGCTGTTTCTCCTGTCAACGCGAAGAGACGGACCACCTCTTTCTGTCGCGCCTCGGCCGTCATTGGACGTCCCCGTCGGAGGGGGGGGGGGGGGAGGGGGAGACCAGGGTGACACGTCTTGGTAGGGCTGTGGCCTGTCGAATTCGAGAAATTGCATTCGCTCCGGATTTGCGGTGCATTGTACGAATACGTCTCTCTAAGCAACAAGGTGGTCGGTCTAGCTTTCGGCGCACATGAGCTTGCGTCGTAGTGCATGATGCCCTAGAGGAGAGCGACCTGCCGACGAGACAGATGCTGCATACTTTTTCTTCCGGTCTCTCTGAGGTTGAATTCAGTTCTGGTGGGACCCGGGAACTCGACTTCCATCGGGTGAGACTGGTTTGACTTTGGCCGCGCCGAAGCTGTTCCCAGACTTTCCAAACCATACTCCCCTTTCTTACAGGTACATACATGGTCAAGCAATTAGTTTAGACGCAGCTGCATGGAGCTATGGCCCATTCGCTGCAACCGTTGCATCGACCTACAGACCATGTTGCAGCGGTAGGCCCGGCCCCATGTACTGCGCAGTGTACGGTCCGTGAGATGAGGTGGCCGGGGGAGGAGGTAGGGTCTGACATGAGTAAACTCGTCATTCTCTTGTTGGGAATCTCTCTCGCAAGCAAAGTTCCAAAGTCACAACCTGTCGGCTCAGGAGAAACCCGCGCCCTCGTCAAGGATGCTTGCTGCCCCCCTCCGGACTCATCCGGACCTGGCCATGGGAACTGGGAACTTTGTACGTGACTCGATCGAGATCAAGAGAGCTGGGTGTGCAGCAGACGAAGGAACCTCGAGAAGTCCAAAGTGCTTCCCCCCCCCCCCATGCCCGTGGCCTTGTCTGTCACATCTCACCTCCCCCCAAATGATCTACTGGCTGCTTATCTGCCGCACCAACGTCCGCTAAAGACCTTCTCGAAGGGTGAACCCCGACGATGGATTGGCCGTCTCCGAGCGCCCCCGATTGCTGAAGATAATGCCAACAAGATGGCTGACCAGCAACCGATATCATTGCGTTACTTTATTGCGATAACGGCGTAGGATACATGCAGTTAGTCTCGCCGGCCGGCCGTAGTATCGGCAATCTAAGCAAGAGGTTGTGGATTTTCCAAACCCCCCCCCTTGTTTTTGCTTTGCTAGCGTAGTGTAGTACGTGCCGGTACGCGATGGCCGCGGATACTTCTCGTTGAAACCGCGTTCAGGCTTGCCCATCACCTGATTAGCTTCAGCTGCGCCGTCGAGGTCAAACTGCATCCTCGCGCCATGCGGTGGGCAACTTTTCTGCCCCTATTTGTTCACCTAAGGGCCCCTTCCCCAGCACACTGTATGTACATGCACGAATACCTTGAAACGGAAAAGCCCGGTTGCAACCAGCTCGATACAAGACATGATGGGCAAACCCTTACAGACCGCTCCCCAAGCAAGGGATCTGTTGACACTGCGGACATTGTTTTCCCAAGACAGGACAACCCAGAATGATCGTTGCACCGACGGTCAATCGGCTCCCTGTACGATAAGGACCGCGCCGGGCTTCCTCAAAAGACTGTTGTACCCGGTCACGCAACCAACCCACTGCCTCCTCGGCTAACAACAACAGCAACAAGCCCTTGCAAGCGTCAGATATCTAACTTGCCATCTTGGCGGAGAAGGCGTGGTTTTTCGGGCGAGCCGCTAAGAGCCGCCCGGAGAGCAAGTCCGTTCTGTGGGCGTAGCCGCTACGTGTACGGCCTGTCCGAAAGACGCTCCGGCATTCCGCCTCTTTCTGGACACCGAACCAGTATTATCACCAACGGCCATGACGAATCATATTCCTCGAGGGGACCAAGCCTGGGGCCCCATGTCGCCATCATTGCCGGCATTTGTCCACTCACGACCTGCTTCTGCTGGTATGATCGCCGACGAGCCTGTGTCGCTAGCGGTCAACTTGACACTGCTTCGGTGGGCCATCGTCATAAGAACCACATTTGGAGGCTTTTGTTCTTTTTTTCTTTTTCTTGGTTCGCTAGCGGGCTGGCGTGTTCCCGTCACCTGGAGCTACACCGAGCCCTCACTTGTCTGCATCTGACCCACCGTTGTTGATCTTCTGTCAATGTTTGCTTGCACTCCGCAACATCCAGCCTCGTCTAGCCAGTCGCTCAACGGCTGCGTTCCACTGTTCAGACCCATAAGTTTGCAAAACGGCGCAGATCGCCCACAGTCTGACGTGCCAGTGATATGATTGCCAGGTTCTGGCTGGAGTGCCCCCCTTCAGGTGTGCCACGATAGAGGAATGGGCCATGCTTTGAGCCCGCTTATACCATGCCACAGAGATAACCGATTGGTGCTGGGACCAGCCCACACTTTTCCCAAACACTCGGTCTGCCAGGCCGTTGGACTCGCTTACTCCTTAGTGCTAAAGTAGGCGAGGCATTGCCCGGGGCAAGCCGTCAGAGAGACTGACAGCTATCATTCCATGATTGTCTTGTGGTGCGATCGACGTCAAACCCGCGCAGCCGGCCGTCACCTGAACGTCTGACGTCTATTTTTGACCTCGCATCAACGTCAACAGGCTTCGATCACGCAGCGATGCCGGATTAAGCAGGATCGCTCGAAACCCCTGTCGTGGCCGCCGAGTGCTGTCCGCGGTTTGCGGTGGTAAAAATACGCATCACAGAGCCCGTCAAGTACCCAGGGCGTTCTCAATGAAACCCCATTGTCCATGAATTTGCCTCTAATGGCCAGGTTGTAAGTCGTAGAGAATGCTGTCACTGTCAAGGAGAGCATCTTGTTGGGCCGGCACCGAAGGTGTTCATAAAATGTGCTTGAGCAGACCGGTCTCCGTCGGTCCTCGACGTGCCAGGTTCAAGATAAAGCGGCTGCTGATCATTGTCACCTCTACAAGGGCCACTCTTCCATCGGGAAAAATTAAAGGTCTGACTGACGGGTTGGCGAGGCATAATGACAAGGATAACGGGCTATTGTCTTGTTTCTCCATGATGCCGATTGTCTGGCACTTGCCGCAAGTCTGCTTTGGGGTGTAAATGGCCTCGCTTGTTGGCTACTTGACGATGCTCGGACTCGTGCGCTGCCCTGGCAATATGTCATTGGGTGGGAATAAAATCAGAATGGCGTGGTTTCACGATTCAGTGGAAAATCGGTTCACGCATATCTTCAAGGATTATCAAGCGGACGACAATATGAGTCAAGACAAACATGCGCCCTCGGCATTGGCAGTGAAGATCTCACAAACAAGTATGCTGATTGATATTCCTTACTGCGTCTCGTCGCCCCCAGCCGCGACACACCGAATTGTTGCATGACAATAGGCGTTTGCTCCCTTGAAAAGGCATAATATATGGTTCTCTGGCCGTCTCACCGAATCTTCATTTCTGTATCACTTTGTCCTTCGGCAGCAGCACCTGACACTCGCTTGCATGGCTCCAGTCAGTTTGTCCTCTCCCATAGCTATGATAACAATGCCCCAGGCGGATTTGTCCTCTGCCTCTATTGTACAAGTAAAACCTTTGACTTGCAGCGTACGCCGCATGTGGTCTTCGGTACTATAATGTTTCAGTACGATAGCGCCACTTTGAACCATGCTGGCAACAGTCCTATAGTGAACCGTATAATAATACTGTAGCTACCTCGACGTTAACGCATGTTGCGCGCCATGCATCCTGTAACTTGGTCGCGCTTCCCGACGACGGCCTCCCCTTGCGGACCGCCTTGACCTTCGGAAAAGTCCAGGCGCTGATAGTAAATGTAAGGGCTTTGTTTGCCCCAAAACGGCTCGATGTCTTGCAGCTGCCAGAACCGTTGCAACGGCCCTCGTACGACTCGGAATCCCCGTTTACCCCACCAGCGAGGCACCACGAACACCATGCTCACGGTGCCGATCTTGACTCTGTTACAGGGGCTCATCCAGGAAGGGCCAGGCCGATCCGGACGAGATAAACACAAATCTCTCCCCTGTTAACTACCCAGCAAACCATCCCCGCAAACACCTCGCAGACACTATTGCTCATGTGACGAGCTCTGGCGCGGCCCAACGTGGGTGTTGGGCGTCAGGCCCACCATTCATTCAGTTGTCCAAGCATTTCACTTCGTGGGTCTCCTCTCACCGGCCGGCTCCGGGAAATTGCCCATGCGCAACTGGTCGCGGCGTCTCAAGGTGGCGTCGTGAGAGACCGTGCAATCCATACATTCGTCTTTCTGATCGCGCCTTCTCGCGCGCCTGAGAAGAAGGGACAGGGGTGACTAATATATGCTCTACATTGTTGACTTCAATCTCCCACAAGCGAGTCGCCACGTCCACGAAGCCGCGGCCCAGAATCCCTGAGGGGGCAGATAAGGGGGGATTCATGTAAGCATTTTGGACGGTAAGAGTCTGGATTCCGGCTATATCACCAGTTTTCCCAGGATTCTGGAGGACGTCGGAGTATCGGCATCGGGGCCGAAGTACGAATTTTGCCTCGCCGAGCCGGACCGTTCGGCGCGGACCACACTTACAACCCGGAATGGGACGACTTCCCCTATTTCCCTCATTGCGAGCAACGGGCTTGTTCAACGAAGCGTGATTACTGTATTTTCTCTGACCGCCTGTTACTCTGGCTATCTGTATCACACCGGGAAACAAACACGATCCGAAGCCAACTCCACTTCCTGACCGAGGTGGTACGAACGAACTTGGTGTGTGAGATGGCCAAACCCTTGGAAGTTTGCGCGGTCAGAGCGGGTGCCATTCATCTCACATTCTTGGAACCAAGACATCACATGCCCAAGTCCCATGAATGTTACAAGCAAGCACCGCTGTGCCCTGCATTATGACTATCTGTTAAGCAGTCACAAGGAGCATTGCTTAACCACGAAAGCAACTAGTGGGTCAAAGTGCTTGCCTCAAGTCAAGCTGCAAGAAAGTATTCAGTACAAGTTGAATCATCATGCTTGGAGGTCCATGGTCCATTGGCGGGGCTTGTAACATGGTAAGGTCCTTCAGCCTCTTGCTTCCTGACGCGGTTTGTTTTCTTCGTAGGACGTCGGGGGGATTCATGGACGGAAATCTTGCTGGACTCATGCCTACTCAGCAGCTCAATTGCGTCGCAGCGCAAATCTGATTGATGATTACTATCTTCCTTTTGTGACATGTTTGACACAAACAGCGCCAAATGCGTTTGGTTTCTCCTGCGTGGTTTATGCAGACTTGATGCGTGGTAGGTATCTGCGCTGTCATTTGTATCAGAACTTCTTCCCATTCGTTATGTCGTTGTATACGCCAAGTTGCCCGTTACAGGGTGTGCTCCAACACAACGCCCAGAATATGATTATATCAACATCGAGGAACCAACGATGAAAAGCAGAACAGCCAAAATAATGATAAATGATAGTTTCAAGTTCATCTGAAAAGGTGCGCTCATTGGTGTAGGTGGGGGTCTGCTAAATGATTGCTATTCCCGGCCCATCGAGTCGACCCCGCCGATTAGCAACCAACGACGCGACGATGCAACCACCAAGACAAGTGATGGAGATCTCGGCTACTGTCCACATCTAGTACCTATCAAAGGGTGCGCATCGGCTATGGAGGCCAAGTCTACATCCTCTTGGCGGACACATGCTGGTTGGACCGGCTTCCAGGACCTTGGGTCGCAAGTCTCTTATGAGGCGGCCTTACGTGCCTGGGTATTTGTCAGTTCGAGCAAACAAATGATGACATGAAACGGGCGTTTGGAAGTCTTGGCGACCCACGGCGTATCAGTTGGGCTTTCACGACGACTTTGCCAGCTTTCCAAGGCGTCTTATCCATACCGCTTACGGTCAATGGACTCGGCTTTGGTTTGCCGAGGTTTCGAGCCAAGAACTCTCTATTACCAGGTCGTCTTTTGCATTATTTGGAATTCCAACATCGCGTTTAGTTTGTCAGATATCGCACTTTCGGCGCTTAGCAAATAACATAGCCGCACACATGCAATCACGCTTAGCGGTGTCCATTCGATCTGCTGCAGCACCATGCCAAGCTCATCGCAGACTGCACAGATCACGGAAATGGAATCATCCCCGTATAATAATAGATATGCAGAGTAGTCTATGTTTGGCGGAAATATAGCAAACTTGGCCACCAACATTAGCCGGCGATGGTTTCAGGTACTCTTCATAGCCTGTCAACAAAAGACTAGCAAAGCAAAACCAATCACAACTCCAACAACGCAGCGCCTGGATATCCAAGAAAAGAAGCTGCTCCGTTGCTAAAAGCCACATATGCTTGAAAGGAGTGAAATTATCAACTAAATGGCGATAAGAATCAGAAGGCGTGGCTATAAAAAACGCCACCAGTAAGGGGAGCAGCAGGCAGACGTATCACATAGTACACAGTGGGAGAAGGCAACCCGGCACCCTGGTTGAGTTCATGATATTGTGCATACAGTCTGTCGATAACTGGTTCCCAAAGACCCTAGCAATAACTGAACAGTTTTACCAATGTGAATTGTGAATGGTTGTTTAAGCTTGATTTGACCAGCACAAGAAACTCTTAGGCATGTTCGATATAGGCTCGGAAGTCGGTGGAAGTTGGGTATTATAGTATTAATGGAACAAGGTGCGGAAATCCGACCAAGAGTAACTAATAGACAGCGGGAATCACCTAGTTGTGTGCTGGTCGGAGGATATAAGGGTTAGCAGCTTGGGGAGACGGATAGAGAATTAACAACACACTTTTGACATAACTTTTTCTGACCTATCTTTCCCCTACTTACACATAGGGTCTTTCTACAATTTAACTTTTATTGTCATAACACAACAATCTTAGGAGCATTCACTCCTTTGACTGCGTTAGGCCTTGCCCTGATTAAGGTGACTACAAGTCTGGATAAAAGCAGTTCTTTTAGCCGATTAAGGGAAGCATCTTGTGTTGCCTTAGTAGGTGTTAGTGTTTCTGTATAGATTACTGCGCCGTATAGTTTTGCTGTCTACCTATACGTTCTCATCACTGCTGAAGTAGTTAAGCCACTAGTTAGTAGCGGTGTTCAGAGAATCCATACATACCACTTGAATCACGAAGGTTAATAGTTACATACTGCAAGCTCTATAGAAAAGCGGGTGTATTACAGCAAGGCTGCCTTGCTGGAGAAGACAATTTAAGATTAAAAGGCGGCTTTGTATGCCACAACGAGTTCATAAGTACACGTGAGGGTAGCTCCCAGTAAAGCCTAGTTATAGCTATGAGTTGGCCCGTAATGCGTCTAGTTCCATGCCCAACTGCAGCGGGAGAACTGCTTACATTTATACATATGGTGTTAAAGACGTTAACGACCACGTTTATTGCGGTATTGGCCACCCTGGTAGTCGAACAACTCCGCTCTCATATGGTTCCCACGCTATTCCTGATGCCGTCTCTCTGTAATGTTGCCCGTAGTATGGGCCACAAGTTGAATCCGGTAGTAATGAAGACGATTAATATCAGCGACTTTGAGGAAGCAAGAATTTGGACAAGGCTAGTTGCGGAAACCCTTGAGGGGGCGGTTTAGAGTTGACTATAACCATACGGAATGCAGTATCCAATGTGATTTACAGTTACATATACTCAGAAACGGTCGATATTTATGTGTAGACGAATATGTCTCTTTCTGCTGCAGAGATGTTAATAGACGAACTGGTTGGCCAATGGTCGTAGTTAAGAATTTCGATACGTTGGCGCAAGGCGTCCAGGAACCGGACGAGAGGTCCCCAAGTCACCAGCTGGGCGGCGTTCTGTTAAATTAGACGAACGATGTCGTCGTGAATCTTGCGCTTGAACATTTGCCAAGCAATGTGACCCTGGTCTCCGGGAAGAAGACGGGGATTCTGGCGCCAATCCTCGCAACAAGTTAGCAGGCGTTTCCCTAGCGGAATCAAGGCGCATACCGTGCGACAGACAGGCATCTCCGAAGGGCGACGCAGGATCTGGGTGATTCGCTGAGACCAGATCGAGCGACGAGCGTTGATCAGTGACTCGTGGTTTCGGAACTCATCCTGGATGGGTTCAAATCCAGGATGCCCTAGGCGCTGGCCCTACCTATTGACAACTAAAGGGCCTGGCAGAGCGTATGCTGGGCGATACCCATGATACCCATCAACCTCTAGGCAGGAGATAAATACACCGATTCCTGCGGCAAACCCCATTAATCAGGACCCATCGATCCAGAGCAATAGATGCCTAGCGATAGAAGGCCCATTCTTCTAAGGCTATCTAGGGGTTTTTCTATTGTCTAGCTGATATCCCTGCCATCTATCCATCTAACTAATAGAATGTAGATAAGACTAGTATTATAGAGGGCAGGGGATCTAATAGGCTAGTGCTAGGCTCTATAGTATTACAGTATATCTAGAGAAAGCAGCTAGGATCCTAGGCATAAGTATCTATTATTAAGTGTATAGCTACTAATAGAAGGTTCTTATACCTACTAGTTATATATAAGGGTAAGTTAGTATAGGCCTAGTACTGCAATCTATTGACGGTTCGCACCTACCAGGAGCCTCTAGGCGGTTCTTCATAGGGGAATTTCACACAGATCACGACCCAACAAGCGCGAAACGAAGATCGGATTTACTTGGAACATTTGACTTCAACTCAGCAACGGATTCCTCAGTTACCGAGCTTTCACCCTGGGCCTTTCAGCAAACAGAACAGATCTCTCCCGAAAGAGGGGAGGAGGGTTCTAGATCCCGTCGCTTTGGGCCTATAATCAGTTGATGGTGAAGGACAGCGGGTGATTCAGCCACACCTGAACTACAGAGCAGCACCGGTGAAGATAATCACGGGATTTTCTTTCCATCATCTCTGTAAGAAAGTAGTGCCAAAGACCAATAACTGCAAAATACAGTCTCCGGAATGGTTTTACCAACGATGCTCACCTCGGAGAACAATGATGAAGTACTCCAGTCTTATAAATCGATGATGAAGCTTCTGTTTTCTCATTATAACATAGAGAACGTCAACTATACCGAGGAAGCCAGAAATGAAGAGGAGGTGGAGGAGCGTATCTGGCGCAGCGGAGCTGGCTGGCTAGGCTGGTCTGCTTATGCTGCTATCGAATATATGCTTGAGCGTATTCCACCAGGTAAGGTGCCCTTGTTTCCATCGGCGGCAAGAAACACTTCCAAATTGGGGACCATTACCGCGCGTGACTTTTTGCGCTTCTCCATCGCTCGCATGCTGGAGCTGTTTCCCGAAGTCGCGGAGACCAAGGCCCTCAAGCAGAACCTGCAGGAGCCTCCCGTTATCTCCGGTCCACCCGAGCTCGGGCTCGACTCTGAACAGATGCTTAACATGCGTCGCTATTGGTCATGCTTCATCTTCTCCCTGCAGTTGTACCTGGACATCAGAAACATTATGGACTACAGGTTAAAGACGCCCGCCAACGACTGCAGGTCACCGCAAGAACGGCCATTGAGAACATGAAGAAGGCCATAAAATCGTGCGACAAAGTCTGGGATTCGGAATGGAGGGATACGAACGAGCACAACATTGAAGTCATCCAACACTACGCCTTGAGCGACTTGATGTACGAGAACAAAACGCTGAGAGCAAAGAGCATGGGCGTAACCGAGAAACTTTCCGGATATGTAATATGACACCGAGCCCGTCTGGCCTAGTCTATTGAATTTTCGCATAAAGGTAGACATGACTGTGCTGAGCATACGCTTGCTCACACGCACGCCCTCTCCTCTGTGGACAGGCATTCTGCGCCGGGTTAAGGGTTAGGGTTGCCTGCCTGGCCGGAGATGGACAGTTTCCCAGGTGTGTTTGGTACTGAGCTTCTCGGCTCCCATGTTACCGAGGATCTCAAGGCGGCCGACATCCTGGTCAAAGTAGCACAATGCTGGACGGTACGCGTTCTCACGTCTGAGTGAAACTGCTTGAAAAGATACACCGCGTGACGGCCTTCTGGCTCAGATACGGTGAGCGGTCGTGCAACTGGCAAACGCGACAGGACACGAAGTATATCTTGGACATCGCCCGGATTCACTTCGGTCTCTCACTCGACTCAAGACAGAATCCCTTCGGCATTCCGCGGGAGAGGACGCCCTTCAAATCAGCGTTATCTTGCGATGGCCAAAAACGCATGAGATGATCCGCCAGGTCCGTATGATGGGCAACATGCGGCACGTCGAGGTACTCGAGATCCTCGATCAGACCGTCGAGACCATGACCAAGAAGGAGTTCACGGTGGATTACTTCAAGCTGGATTGGGAGGTGCAGACTTTCGTTGAGAGACTAAGAATGTCGATGTTTGACGCATGTTTACTGAGCTCCCCGGAGGATGGTGTCGACAAATTCATCGAAAAGCCCGGTGCCACCGAGCTTCTTGGCCTAGCGATTGAAAAGGCCTTTCTCGCCACCGCTCATCAGCTGTTTGTTTCAAGGATGGCTAACCCCCCCGGAAGAGAAATAGGACGATAGCTGGTCGGAAACTGACGAGTCGGGTAGCAATGACCCACTGAAATGAGGCGGATAGTATACAAGCTGGACATGTGCCGCGGCAGCAGAAGGGTATTAGAATAATACTGGTTGACTGGGATCAATAAGTGCGTGATCTTGATAAAACTAGTTGTTGCCTCACACCTGAACTCCAGTTGCGAGTTAAACGGTAGACGATCAACAAGCCTTGTTCATGTGACATTATATGTCTACAGCTCTACTAATTGATATGAAAATTAGAGGTATTAAATATGTTGTTATTACTCTCAGAGCCGATCAGTCAAAACTCAACAGCTTAGGAAGGCCTCGGCAACTATGTTTGGTTAGTTATCCACAGTTCATGATGAAACGTCTGTAGGGCATACCGAAATAGAGCCAGCTAAAGAGGAACTATGTTCGTTTCCGTTGTGTTCATCTTTGCCTGTGCAAGTGAAATCCTATTTCGATCCATGTCGTAGACGGCGTACACTGCCTGAAGGAATGGTGCCCCAAGACTTGTGAATTCGACCTCCCTCGAGCCAATAATCTGCGGCATACTGCACTGGCCAGCCGCGCCACCCTTCCCCTGGAGGGGAACCATGAGAACACTGAATGGCACGCTCATCTTGACAGTGTCCTGGTTGAAACCAAGGACGAGGCTCATACTGTCGCCCCAGCTACAGGGTACCGGGTTGAGCAAAGTCACATCGCCGTCTCTCCGAGTACCAATACGGAGCGCTCTTGCCATCCTCGTGACCACCTCGGGGGACAGATCTAATGCCGGATTGCCTGTATCCAAGAGAGCTGGAATAGGCTGGGGGACAAAGTTGGTCGCTTGTGCAGGGGCACCGGTGCCTGCTTGTCCGCTTACTGACATTGAGCTGAAGCTTACCAGAAGGTGCCCAAACTTGCCATTTGCATCCCGGACCAGAGGCATTTCCTGGAGTTTGCCGTCAAACTTGGCAGTATCAATGCCGCCAAAAGTGATCGATCCGTCCGAACCCCCTAATTTGGAAAGCGTTAGACCTAGAGCTATAATTGTCGTTTCTGGGTGGTTTTGGCAGAGATTAGGTATTTCTTACTAAAGTCGTTGAGGTATATGCCGAAGGCATTTCTGCTGATGACCCCTGCTTCCTTCATACGGGCCGGGACGTTCACATACCGCTTAGCTGTTCCTTCGTTTCCCATTGGCCCAATACCGAAGACAGAAAAGGACGGCGTATTCGGCGGGATGTACCCAGTCTCCATCAGACCGATCTGGGCGGCCGATACCTGGGCACCCCCAAGGGTTAACGTTTCTTTGACCATCGGCCCTTTGTAGGACTCCCCGGTACCGAAACTGGTATCGAGAGCCTGGCCGGTCACTCTCTCGGCCCCCTCAGATTGCCTAGGGTCGAAAGATCCAAGTACGAGTCCGGTTTTGCTCCTGGTGCACTGCTGTTCTGGGCTTTTGCAGACGGTACTGCCGGTCTCCGCGGCGATCAGGTCGCTGCTGCCGGTGTCAAGAACCATCCGAACGATCTGAGGAGGGTTTCCGATGCCCACGTCGACGAGGGGGACGACTCCCGTGGCGTCACTGTTGTAGTGCATAATGGGCAACTGAACTACTCCAGCTGCCCCTTTGGCCGTCTTCGCCAGTCCATTACCTGCGGGTGCAGAGAGACAATGAGAGGAAAGCAGCGCGCCAACAAGCAGCGCCAATAAGCGTTGAAAACGCAACATTGGAGTGAGTTAAGAGCAGTGAGTTGAACATTCAGGTTTTCACCGAATACATAAGTTGGCTGTTGGGGACATGGCCGTTATAAACTGACAGAAAATCATACACAAACAAATACGTACATATGTCATTGAAACAGGGTATTCCTAGCTATGTCGAAGCTTAGATACATATCCAGACATGACACCCTGGGCACATAACTCCGCGCAAAGGTTCGTTTGAAACAAAGTTGATTTTTAGTTTGCTTGCTACGGTTGGACAAAAGGAAGTTGCGTGTCCGAACCGTTCGTTCCTACTACTACTCGCCCCCTGGTGACAGCCAACCAAGGACATACGAATCATTGAGGACATAAGACGGTTCTTTCCATCAAACGCCATCATAATGGAACAACCCTGAAGAAGTTTAAATAGATTACAGATGGTCTCCAATAGTCAGATCTTTGTGCTCTGGTTCTGTCCTGGCTCAAGGGTTTCTTACCCGACTTGGCATAAGGCTAAAAGTTGTACTTGTTATTGAAACGAGTCAAACTGCCGCGTCATGATCTCAGATGGCTGCAGTTGTAAACGAGGGCTGAAACATAAGTTCTTGACTATGGAATAGATCTAATACTGACGGCTATCGAGATTGCTTTAGCTACCTTGATCCCGGGTTCTGGTCTGAAGGTTGTCCTCATCGTACATGAGCCGATGTTTGGCACTGGGTCCACAACGATGGCAAGCGGGTGGCGTTTGCGGTGAACAAGGTTTGCCGTCTCACGCGCTTGTCTCACGCGCTTGTTACATCTGGTTGCGACGGTACGCTTCAGAAGAACTTACGGCGGGCCGAGGTCTTGGCATGGAGTGGTGCCTACGCGTGTTAGTTGCGTTGCAAAACTCTAAAGCACGCTGCTGCGTCTACAACAAGCCATTAGATTAATTGCCAACAAGAATCTCGCCGAAAGACAGGAGAGAGATTGATCAACAGCTAAGATATGGGCGAATTGTATGAGAGACGACTAACAGATTGGAACATACTGTCGTATGGTATCTCTCATGAAATTGAGCAGCTCTGTCCCTATGCAACCTTGAGCTGTCCGCTATGGACCAAAGCGAACCACAATAAGCATCGTTTTTCAACACACAACTGCATGTGGCGTTTACACCAAAACGACTGAAAAACGACTATTTATACCGTCCTAGATGCCGAGTCAGCAGTATGCGTAGTTTGGTGTGGGATGTTGTGGCAATTTGCGTCATGCTGCCACGTAACTCTTTCCATTAGCGTCTCGGCACCTCAGAATATAAACAGTAAGGCTAATGTCATGGCAGTTGGTTTCTGTACGTCGTAGTGGCGACAGAAAAACCTCTCTGTGGCGGTTCGAACACTCCCTCGCCTGACACATTTGTAAGTGGAAGAGGCCCTCGGGACCGGATTTCGGTTGATAGCAGACCTACTCTCCCCAACCGTAACTAACGCCATGAAGACAATCCCGTCATTCAAAAGACTTCATGCAAAGCCTCTCGCCTTTGGATACATCTCGGCTGCATCCGTGCAGGAAAACCAGTGTCCAGCTACCGCAGCTTCAGTAGAGGGTAATTGATGCCGCATGCTCTGGGCCGTGCGATGAAAATTAAGGCAAGAAAACCCAGTGCTGGATTGTAGAAACAATGGGCTTACTCCGAACAGTGATACATGATGGCATGCCAGCTAAGGCACGGATCCAATGGGTCGACCTACAGTCGAGTAACGGTCCTCTGTCCGTTACAGACCGTGTTTTACGATAATATGAGCAGCTCACGAGGAACTCGGATCCCCAGGTGAGAATCAGCATATAGACCACAGGGTGCTGACCATGTAAAGAACAGGTTGGTGCATCAATTGACGGCCCGGTCGTCCGCAGCGGCCACGCCGTCCCCATCACGGACCTCCTAGGCATCCACATGGTTGGCTTCGACTCGGACACGTTCATATTTGACAAGGACGGCAAGGACAAGAACCTGATCTCGCGTCTAACGGGATCTTCACCTGAGTGCGGGGCGATATCACAACAAGAAATCGTGAATCAGGTTGTCGATCCAGGTTCTAGACAGGTACATAGGCGCGGGCGATAACGAAGGCCGCCAGCTGACGGCAGCGGACCTCGTCGACATGAAAACAACTAGAGCGTCAATTACGGTGCCCGGTTTGCCGACTACCTTCACATACGCGTCTATGGTGTGGCCATCGTAGGCGTTCTTGTTGCCGAGACACAGCCGTGTCCTTACGATGCGAAGCCAAAATTACACGCTAAAGGAAACGCGAACACTCATCCTGTTCCTAGGATGGCTTCGAGGCTCAGAGAATCCCAATCAAGATTCGATGTGGCTTCTGGTCACAAGGCACGGAGCTTGGCTTTCACCGGACAGTGAAGGATTTAATCGATGCGACAGAGTAGCCAAGGCAATGGAGGGAAGATGCAACGCAGGCTCGGTACATTCAAGTGACGGAGGGGCGCGTTGATCGCACGTGGTGTAACTAAAACGATGATAGACGGTGGAAGTATTTACTCCTACTTTTATGGCTCAGTGATTCCACCAGAGATACCCACTGAAAGTTTAAGAGAATAAACAAACTGCCCATGCAAACCGGTTCTCGTCCCTTTCTTTGCGATTCCACGAATTGATTGATTCTAGTACGGTAGCACAGAGTTCATGCTCCGTGTTCGTCTGTTGGGAGAGAAAGGTAAAAGGTGTCTCCATCTAACCAAAGCTCGGCCAAATGCAGAAGATACCATGTCCCAGCACAGATCATCAAGCGGATCATGCCTGTGCATTCTAGTGCTGGTGAGAAGCTTATATTAGTAAACCTTTGTCGAGCAATGAACAATGTACTCCCTCTCATCTCTTCACTACCCGGCACCTCACGCCAAAGTTCAACGTCACCGGTAGAGATATAAAACGCCCCCCACCCCGAGGACATACAACGTTGCCAGCCCTGGCACTGATAAGTTGGTGGGAAATACTAACACCACCTGAGTCATAGGTGCCTATCCAAGCATCGCGTCATGTCCGATCCACGATTAACGTTATGAATTGACGGGAGTGGACCGATAGACGTATTTAGAGCCAAACGATGCGGCTCCGTAAATGTACAAAGTTTCGGTTTGGATTGAGATTGTTATTTACCAAGTTCAACGCCACGCCCCGAAGAGACCGGCATCAACGGTCCCCGATCAACGTCCCTAAAAGGCAGTGGCTATGACATATATATATATATATCCAAGAAGGAGAAAACGGCTGGAGTCTCACAGCTCCTCATCACAGAAACCAGAACGACGGGCTCCTTTCAGCTGGCGCTCACGGGGACCGTCAGGCCGTCGAGGTCCTTGTTCACGACGTCGTTCCAGCCGTCGGCAGCGGTACCGCTGACGAGGTAGGACTTGCCGCCGGCGTCGCCCTTGAAGACCCAGTTGAGCCACTGGACCGCGGCCTTGGCGTAGGCCCCGCCGTTGACCTCGCCGTAAGTGCCACCGTGGCCGACGCGGTTGAGGTTACCCTTCCAGGCGGGGGTCCCGGCCGGGAGGTTGCTGTAGTCGCGCTCGCCCTGAATGAAGCAGTCAGCTCCGGGTGGCCCGGTTGTCATCGCGGCAGATATCTCTGCACTTACGTTGGGGTAGGCGATGTCGTTGGGCCCGCCGAGGGCGATGATGATGGGCTTCCGGATCTGCCTCGCCTGGTCGTAGTTGCTGAGCAGTCCAGAGTTGAAGATGCCGATGGACGACACGCGGTTGTCGTTGATGAAGTTGTACGCCTCGGTGCCGCCACAGCTGTAGCCCGCAGTCATGATCTGCTTGGCGTTGACCTTGCCGGCGAAAGCCCCCTTTCCGCCAGCAGCGGCCCAGTCGACGGCCTCCTTCATCTGCGCAGCGGTGGTGCTGCCCGACTTACCAGGCGTGCCTTGAGAAATAACGAGATAGCCGTAGGACGCAATCTGCTTGAGATAGTTTTGGGCTGACGTGCCGTCGGCGGAGCATGCGCCGTTTCCCCAGATGAAGACGGGCATCAGGCCCGGATCGCCTGATCCAGGGCTGTAAATGGTATGGCTGGGGAGGGAAGAATCGACACTGTAAGCCTAGAGTCCACAGTCAGTTGAAAGGTCTCTGCCAAGCTTGAGAATGACGCTCTCGCACTCCTGGTGCAAAGGGGCCATCGCCGTTCTGGGCTATGACCCACGATGCGAAGGTCAACAGACCAAGGTGGAAAGATGGCTTCATTGTGATAGTAAGTCGACAGTGCGGCGGAGTTGAGAACGATGGGTGTGTCGCAGCCATTCAAGAATGAAGGGCATGCGGTCTATTATAACTTGCAGTTACCTTCCAAATGTCACCTTTATACAGAATCACCGGTGTTGTTGCTGGCGCAGCACTCGATCGAGGAGACCGAGTTCTTGCCGCGCAATCTATCCGGAGAAGCGATACGAAATGAGACGAGGGCGGCCAATCTCGTAGAAGCCCACGTGAAGCCAAGGAAACATACAATTTAGCCATTTTTGAAAAGAAACCCTTCCTCGGTTATACGACTGCTGCACCCCCGCACAGCACGCAGCGATGTGGTGGTCATCGGGCTTTCAATCCGCAGTTGGCCGAATCAAGTAGAAACGTTGCCAGGATGGGCCTGCCAGATCGGCGACGCCTTGAGTTACGGGAGCAGTGAATTAGCTTGAGATATGCCGCCATTGGAGGCGTGTTTGTCGTATACGGGTCTCTCGGGCGTGTGGAAGCCCGCCAAGAGACGTGAGGGTCACTCGGCAAGATGTAACCTGCTCAGTCCAGCCCGTCGAAGCAACGCCGGGCCCGATACAAGGCACAGAAAACAAGACGGTAACAACTTGCATTGCATCTGCCGAAGTGCGAACAGACACATCACCTCCTGCATGCATTGCAACGCATCCAAGGTGATCGATCCTGTGATACCGGTTGCCTTTCTGAACGGTCCACCAGTAGAGACCGCTTCTCACCACCTCGAGCCGTTTGGGCGGGTGGATGGACGGACAGAGAGCCCCCGACAGTCAACTGCCGATGATGAAACAGAGCTCCTGGTCGTGTTTACATGAGGGGAAGTCTAGAGGCTGGCCCATCCATCCGATCTGTTTACCAAGATCGCTCAGTAGGGTGTGGGGTACATGAGCGGGTGGCGATCCCTGCCTTTCGTCGCAACCTGCTTGCTTTCCGGATGAACTTATCCAGTCCTGGACATCCGCAGTCCTTCGTTGCCAGATGCCTCGGCCGAGTATGTTACAATGATGAACCATTTCGTTGCTGTATCGACGAGTGGGGATTGACCACCTTTGCCAAGCTGCACAAAGCAACACATCCATTTCATCTCAATTCCCGCCGTGATTGTTGGCATTTCCAACTTGGCACTCTCACACGCACATGCGAGCTTTCGGCCCTGGACATGGAAACTAGAGCCACGCATCACAATCAAATGATCATGCATGGAAAGAGTGATTAGTTGCATGGCCTCGCGGTCCTGCACAGAAAGAACAAGCGGGGGCTCAACGCCCCCCGGCCGTCTCTCAACCAAAAGAAACGCCCGAACTCCTCGCATGCCAAGGGCTGTTACGGATACATCAGCACCATTTCTAGGCAACAGATTCATTTATAGCCCCATTGAGATCATGTTTGACAGATATTAGCATGCCAAGGTCCTCGAGACCAAAGCATACCGCAGGCAAGTTGGCCACCTGGATAGACCATCAGAAGAGCGTCTTGTAAGGTGGTATCTTGTTCATTTCGCCAAACCTTCTCTGCCCACCAACCTCAGGCCTACCGCTACGGCCATCTACCTAAACGAGACAAAAAGAGGATGGCCGCCAGGCAGGCAAAGCACCTTAGTCATCGTACAACTCCTCCTCCTCCTCCTCGTCGTACCCCCCCCTCGACGGCTGCCGTCGCTGTCGCTATCGTCGCGCTCGTGATAGTGGCGGTGGTCCTCGGACCCAGACGACGAGCGCCGTTCAAAATCGCGTTCGTGGTCGGAATCGGAGTCTATACGAGTGTTAGTTGGGATCCCGCACGTCAGCAGAGAACAAGAGCCGAAACTGGGGGGGTGATATCCATACCTAGGGCGTTGGCGAGGAGGGCGCCTCCTAGGGCGCCAACCGCGAGGCCGCCTGCCACGCCGAGCAGCATGTTCCCACTGCCGCTCTTCTTCTTCTTCTTTTTCTTCTCCTCCTCCTCGCCGCCGTATCCCTGCTGGTAAGACTGGCCGTAGTGTTGCTGCGGATGAGGCTGGCCGTATTGTTGGCCATGTGATTGACCGTAGGGTTGGGACTGCTCGTAGCCGTGTTGTTGCTGGCCCTGTCCATATTGCTGGCTGGCGTAGTATCCCGCACCAGCACCAGCAGCTGCGCCGGCGTACGCCCCATATCCCGGCTGAGGGGAATGTCCTCCATACCCGGGCTGGGGTGAGTATCCCGGCTGTGGAGAGTGTGCACCATACCTCGGCCCCTCCCCGTGCGCGCCGTATCCTGGCGACATTGGCGGAGGCGACACCACGGGCGAAGGGGCGGCGGGCGGCTCCCACTGCGAAACGCCAGTGGCCTGTTCGACGTAGAACCACCGCCCGCTGTGCTCGTCAAAGCGCTTCGACCAACCCGCGGGAAGCCGCGGTGACGGCGGTCGTCCATGCCCGGGTGACGGGGGCCGGCCGTAGTAGGACTGCTGCTGCTGCTGCTGCGGATACGGACTCGACGGCGACCCGCCCGCGTCTCCGTACCGCCCGGGATGAGGCGTGGGATACTGGGGCTGCGAACCGTAGGCGCCAACGGCCGCTCCTGCGGCGACGCCGGCGGCCATGGAGGACATGGCGGTGCCCTCGGAGACCGGGTCGGAGTAGGCGGAGCGGGCGGGGTCACTGGAGCCGAAAGCGGCGGGGTGTTTGCGCCTGTACTCGTCGGCTCCGTTCTGAGGGCCGCCCGGGTAGCCCGAGGGCGGGCGGCCGTCGTAGCCGTCGCGGGAGCCATGGTCAGTGTAGCCGTAGTCTTTGTGGCCTGTGGTCGGGCGGTCAGGTCAGGGTTCGCGATGAGGGTAGCGGGGGAGACGGCAGCATCTTGTTTGTCCCTTACTAACCTGGGTTGATGATGTCGGGGTCGTCGGGGATGCTGAAATTGCCGAGCTGCGACGCCAGCTTGGCCACGTCAAAGTTGCCGAAAAACGACATGAGGGCTGGAGTGATTGATGGCTGCCGATGCCCTTTCTCTCTTTTCGGTAGTGACAGTCAGTGTTTGTGGGGGAGAAGAGAAAAAAACCGTCGTCGTCGTCGTTGGTGTTGATGTTTTTTGCTGTTTTTTTTTACTTCCTTGGCGCCGCGGGGTCAAATGACGAACGAAAAGGGAAAATCGAGGGTCCATGAGGGGCAAAGGAAGATGAAATGTGCACCAACCTTGGGTCCTGCTGCCTTGGGTCTCTACCTACCTACTAGTACGTGTATAGAGCGAGCGGGATAAGATTCGTAATGGTGGCTTTCTTGGGCTGCAGACGCCACTGCATGTCAGATTGGCCCTGTGCCGTTTGGTGTTTTCATTTTGTATTTTGATTATCTTTATTTCTTTATTACCAGTCTTGTATGGATGGATCCAACGCCGCTAGAGGCGCATTACGCCTCCACGCGTTCTCGGCATGTACTAACTAACGTGCCTTGGGACGGCAATCACGGGATTCTCTTCCTCGGCGCGACTTGGCTAGATTCGTCTTTCCCTATACAGTGTGGGACAATACGTCTTGCATGGATATGAATCCCCATCCATTTGGCTTGTTCGCGGCAACATCGTTCGTCTCCCCCCCCCATCCATCTACACATCCCCCTCCCGGATAAAGATCCTTTCGGATGACCGATTGATTATTGATTCTCCCAAAGACTAAACAACCCCTGCGCTCTCAGTTCCATTGTCCGAGCTCGGCCTGCGGGACGACCCGTCTGTACATGGCGTAGGGCTGAGGGCTGTGCGCCGATTCCGCACAGTCGATGCATAGATGATACCTCGAAGGCCGGCCCTCAAGACAAAACATGTCGACCTGCTTTCAAAGTGCTGCAATAAGAAGACCGGCGTCCAGGCGGCCGGCCAAGAAAACACAAATAGAACATCTCAGGGCTGCAGAATCTTGGCATATAGTGAAAGCATCGAGGGGTGTGGTGGGGTCGTCAATGTCCTCAGAGACTCAACAAGCGGGCACAAATCTCTTCGTCGTCATTCATACAAGTCCCTATCCGTCTCTATGTCCAAAGGGAAGAGCAATCATGGGTATAGAGCTGTGAAGTCGAGCAAGAATAAGAAAGAAAGAAAAAAAGGACACCGCCGCCATGAGAATGAAAAGAAAGATCAAAAGTCCAACAAGCGTGAAACGAACAAAAATTCGGACTTGTTGACTGCAGATAGCCGACCAAACACCCAAATCCCAAAACGCCGATAGCTATGCGTCTACTTTTTTTTCGTCTTCTTCTTCTTCCGTGGCTGCCATGCGATGCAAGTCGAACGATGCAATACTTTCCTCCACTGTCCTGCCTTGCCATGTCCACTCCTCCCCCCCCCCCCCCTATCACCCATCACAGCTCTCCGTCGTAGGCCATTATTTTTTGGCGATTCGGGCACTGCGCTTGGCAGGCGTGCCATTGGCGCTTAGCCCCAATTCCTTCTTGGCTGCCGCAGACACCTTCTTCGGCTTGGTGACCTTTGCGCCTTCCGTCTTCGGACCGGGGATGGCGGGCAGGCGTTCCTTTGTTGACTTGGCCGTCGCGGCCTTGGCCGTTGAAGACTTGGCCGTCGAAGACTTGCTCGCGGCGGTCTTGCTCGTCGAGCCCTTAGGTTTGCTTCTAGTCTTGCCTACCTCCTTCTCTTCCGCAGGGCTCAGCGGCGCCAAATATGGCTCCACAGACTGGCTCCTAGTCAACTGTTCAGCCCACTGAACGCTTTTGCCGTCCTTGCGCGCTGCTGCAACAACTTGTGTCTCGATTGCTGGGGCCGCGTTGTTCAAAGACTCCAGGACCTGCTCGGCTGGCAGTGCATCTCCCTTATTCGTGCGAGTGTTCTGCCGAGTCAAAGCAGCCAAATCCTTTTCCCCATTCCTCACTTTGGCATATCCCTTGTGCCTAACGGGGATCTTTGTAGCGGGAGCTGGCTCGCCGCGCTCTGCGGCCCGCTGGGCGCGGGTTCTGACGCCAGTCGCGGGGCCAGCCTCCTCCTCCGCAGGCTTCGTGTCCTCGTTCTCCTTTGGCTTTCCCTCTTCATCCTTGTCAGACTTCTCTGCCCTCTCTCTGCGCTGACGCTTCGGCGGCTGTGACTTCTTCTCTGGCGATGTTCCCCTCTCCTCGACATCGTCGACCTTTCTTTTAACCTTCCTAGGGCTCGGGCTGTTAACGTCGAGGGCTCCAAGAGGTTGGCGTGCAGTTGAGACCGCGGGAGAGGCCCGCCGAGTATAACGAGGTCGCTCCGCCGAAGACCTGACCGAGAACGCCAAGGGATCGGCCCGGAGGCCCTGGGCGCGCTCGGGCGTGGGAGCAACAGTGGCAATGATCGGGGTAGAAGGAATGGGGGTCGGAGAGAGGGGGGGAGTGGCGGCGGTCTCGACTGGCTCAGGTGCTAGCTCGGCAGCTTTGGCAGCCTTACGCGCGGCGTGCCGGTTCATGAACTCTCTAAGCATGATCAGATCGGAGTCGTCGTCGTCTAAAGCCGCTACAGGCACCTGATCAGGCACCTGGTCAGGCACCTGGTCAGGCACCTGCTGCAATTCCTCGCTTTCCTCCTCGGCCTGCTCCTCCTGCTCCTCTTCTTGGCCGGCGACGGCGACAGGCGACGTCGAGGCAGTGGCAGGAGCATCTTCAAGTGCAATAATGGCAGCGTACTTCTCCGAGACTTTGAACCGCACCATCAGACGATCGCCTTCCTTGCTCACAAGAACATTGCTATCCATCGTCTCCTTGGCCTCGTCAAATACGTGGGCGAGGGAGGCAGGCGCCTGAATAGGAGAGTCGACACGCTCCTGAAATGAGCCAAAGATGTCGGGATTCTCCCTAGCATCGACGACAACGGACGAAGGAGAAGACGATGCCACGGGAGAAGCCAACGCCAACGCCGATGACGACGACGCCCCGCGAGTAGACCCCGGTGAAGACTCGACAAACGTCGCTGATGCTGAATCAACCTCGGAGGGATTCTGCACCGCGGGGAGCTCAACCGACAGGTCGGGAGCACCCACCAGCGATCCGGATGCTGGATCTGGGGGATCCTGCACCGCAGTAAGCTGGTCCGAGTCGGCAGCGGGGAGGGTGTGCGGAAGTGACACGCGGCGAAGGAGGGATGTGAGAGACGGACGGCGCGTTGCAGGGAGCGACTTGCGCTTCTTGAATGGAGACGCCTGGCTACGGTCCTTGAAGTACACAATGGGACTCGCAACAGGCTCGGACACCTCCTCCTCAAGTCTCTTCTCAACATCGTCGCCGTCTGTCTCGGTAACGTCAGGCGAGGAGAGGAAGGACGGCACTTCAAAGGTGAAACCAGGTCCGATGGGGGAGGACGGGGGCGACGAAGGTCCATCTTCCTGCTCTTGAGCGGCAAAGGTTGCGAGTTTGGACCGTAGGGAAACGAGACCCTGGTCCAGCCGGGTCTTCCTGCTTGCTTCCGAATGATGCGTGGCGCTCGAGGGAAAGTGCGGGAGCTTTGCGGTAGGACTCTGCGGCTCATCCTCCTCTTCGATAACAGAGAAGTCCGACTCGCCGAAGATGGCAATGGGTTGCCGGACGTTGCGGTGCTTTTCTGGTTCGCGGCCGTGAGCCTTGTTAGAATCGCGGATCGCCGTCTCGAGGACCCATTCGAAGCTCAGGTCGGGCATGGGGAAGGCAAGGAGGGGCTTCATGATGGCGTGTGTCAACAGGCCGTTATTGTAAGCCCGTTTGGGTTCGCCATCGTAGTTTCTCTTGCTCCTTGTCGGAGGAATCACCTCGCCATACTTCTCCATGTCTGCCTTGTATTGTTGACGCTGCTCACGGACACTGGGGCCCGCTGGGAGGGAGAACAGGTCGTTGCGGAGGACGCGGCGGGCCTCGATCATGTTGATCACGGGCCTCTCTTCCACCTCCTCGTCCAGCCAGTACGGTTCCGAGTAGTCCTCTTCGGTCCACTCTGTGACCCTCTGCCTCTTCCGAGGGCAGAGGGCGTACGCCAGGTCGCCCTTGATGGCAATGTGTCGGAATTGGACGGCGGCATCGAGCTCCTCCACAGAGAGCGACTCCGTGACGCACTTGGCTATGGCCTTTTCCAGAATCAGGCCCCTCGCCTTTCGTCGTTGCTTCACGCGCGTGGCACGTGCCGATCGACGGGGGAAGTCGGAAATGGGAGCAAGCGTGGAGGCGAAGTTGAAGTCCGCAAAGATCTGGGGATCAAAAGGCGCGCTGCTCGAGTAAGCCGAGGCTGAGCACATGTTACGCAACGGGGTCAACTCACCAGAGTTTCTTGGCCATTTCCGAAAGCGCGACGGATGCGAGGGTGTATGCTTGAGGCTTTCTCGGCGACGCGGCGGTAATGTCAGACAGCATAGTAATGTCATGCATCGTCGTGTCGACCTTTGACGGGGACTCGAATACACCGCCTTGCTCGAGATCCAGCTCTCGAATCTCGGAGAGCGACAGAAGGGCGGCACAGGTCGCGGGTTGTCCCTGGTTTGAGTCGAACTGATCGTGAGTAAGCTGGGGTGTTGTCGGCGAGGTTATTGACATGACAGAAAAGTCAGAGAATGCCGGCTTGGAGGGGCTGGACTTTGGTGAAAGACCACGGGCCAGTTTTGGCGTGGACGCGCAAAAGTGCTTGGGTGTGGAGGCGGTCAAGGAGGTAAAGCTGTCGTCGGCGAAGGAGACCTTTTTGGGGGAGGGGGTTCTGGTGGCCGAGGTGGCCTTGGTTGGCCTCGGGGTCTCTGCCGTGCTGGACTTTTTGGAGGGGGAGGCAAGCGCAAAGGAGGTCAACTTGGGAGCATGCCTCTTGGTAGTGGACTTTGACTTGGGCGAGGCATCGGCCTTGGTTGGCGTGGTGAAGTCAAAGGAGAGGGATGACAGGCTCGGCGCCACGCTGCCGTTGAGCTGAGGCGCGACTTGGAGCGTGGAGAAGGCCATCTTGGGGCTGGCGCGGTCGGCGAAGCGCGAGGTCGGGGGGGTGATGGCGTCACCCGAAGGCGGGTTGAATGTCAATTTTGGGATGTCCATCGCGCGTACTGGCCCGACATCGGTCGGGTGAAGGAGGGTAGCGTAGGAGCTATGGTCTCAGATGCTGTGAGGCGGGCCCGGAGATGCTCTCGGACGCGATTCCGCGAAAGTACCGTGGCGAAGCGTGCGATTGGGAGAGACGGAAAAAAAGTAAACAGAGCGTGCGGCCGAACGCGGACAAGAATGGGTGCGAGCTAACCGGCAGGCAGCTGTGAGATGCTTTTATGCAACCGTCGCGAGTTGCCCAAATATAATTAACCAATTGAATATAACCAATGTTTCCAGATAGTCCGGGTCGATGTGAAACCGTGACCAAGGTGGTACGCGACTCGATTTGTCGCCGACACGGAGATTGGTGCGCGGTCGGGAACTCGGGGGTGGTTTCAAGGTACTTGCTTGAACGGACAGCTACCTAAATCGAGATTACAAAGGCAGGGAGAAATAGAGGAAAGGCAGAGAGATGGATGGGTAGCGTAGTGTACAAAAACACAAAATTTGGTGTGGTGGGCTGCCTTGTTGGTTTCCGTGTAACGGGCAACAAAGAAGACCATCTACCCTTTTGTTTACATTCCAAGGAAAATAAGCCAATCGGCAGCTCCCGAGTCCCCTGCATGGCGCGGTGCTTGCTTATATAAGCAGCGCTAGTCCCCGCCCGTCCCAGGCTGCCTTGCGCATCCCGCGCAGCGTACTCCGTAAAGGTAGATCCCAGACGCGCCACGTACTCTACCGTATCCTCTCAGCAGATTCGTATAGCGCACAGACCACTCACCAGGCCTATTTTGGAAGGCGGTCAGCCAGCCTAGCTACCCACCCACCCATCTAACCCTAACCCTTGCCACCAAACTTGCTGCTGACGTTGACTAACCCCTGCATTTGCCACTTCTAGACCCCTGTTTCTGCCAGTCCGCTAGCCCCTATCCAGCAGCCCCTGGTCAGTGCGGTGTACGAATCTACTGAGAGGATACGGTACTCTTTCCTCCCCTCGGGACCGTGTCTTGCGTGTCTTACCCCACCCATGCCAAAGCCACTGCGCGCTTCTGACCAATCAAACGTCTCCAAGGCCCTACAAGGCTGACGAGACGTGATTGGTCCGAAAAGAAAAAAAAAGAAAACTGTTGCTCGGAACCGCATCAAAGCTTTCGCGATGCGATGGATGCTTCGAAGCTCGGAGTATGGAGCTTGATTTTTTGGATCCGTAGGCCGCGACGACAACGACGACGACGACGACGACGACGATTGGGTCCCACGATAGCGATACTCGACGACCTCAACGACCCGAACGACCCCTGAGTGATTAAATAGTATCAGACAAGTCCGCCACACCGCCGAGCCCAAGAACCCAGAACCGCCCATCATGCCTTCAAAACCGATGCGCCTGCCGCCCGTCAAGGTCCTCCGTGTCCGCCAGCCCAACAAAAAGGTCGAAAACCCGTGCATGCAGGTCATGGGCACCGTTCTCGGTATGTCCCTTTCCCCTGCCCCTTGCCGTTTCAGTCCCTCCATCTGGCCGTCTCTGCTTTCCGATCCCGCGACGCAAGTTTGCGTCATGAAATCGCCGCCAACTCCCCCCCCCTAAAAGCATCCTTCACTGACGTCTCTCTCCAGCATGCTGGGCCTCCGCCGGCTATAATACCGCTGGCTGCGCGGCTCTCGAGAACGCCCTGCGCAACTGCATGGACCAGCCTCAGAAGCCCAAGCCGGCCTCGTCCACCATCAACTACCACCTCGGCCGCATGTACGACAAGGTGGTGCCTCACTCCAAGGGCAAGTAAGCAGTCAACGGACCCGATACCAAGATGGTAGGAGGGGGGGGAAGGTGATGCCCGATACCCAAATCCGTCGATTGCGAGGTGCCCGTCGAGACGTTCAACATGGCTGGGGAGACGTAAGACGTCTACGAAGGGCAGCTCAGAGAAGCACAGCAACGGAACAAGGATCGGCCGCGCACAATTCGGTCCGGTGACTGAACCTTGGATCTGTCGAGGGATGTACAACCATACTATTATACACGGGACGCGGCGTTCAAGAGCACGGGTGTTGTAGAACCAATGTACCATATACGGCGGCCGAAGGGTCGCGCCAACTTGAGGAGACTTTTGACCACATCTGATGGCACCCTGTTGACTGGCCCCCCTCTGGCCTTCTTCCCGCCTTCTGTGATCAGACCCGGCGTCTCTGGCGTTGGTGTAACGAGGGCCATAGCTTCGTGAATGTGTATATGTATATATGTATATATATATGGAGGCTACGGGCTGTAAATGTTAAATATCATCCAGTGGACAAGGCAACGAGCTCAATGATCTCAACAGCATTACTACAGCATAGTGGCCGTCTCGAGCCTGACAAGTTACAGTATCAGGTTTAATATAAATAGATTATTTCAATTCTTTACTAAAGATTACTCAGTGAAAACAAGTTCGGTTAAAAGGACTCATTTCAAACAGTAATACAATTCATCATAGACAACGTGACCCTAGCACCGTTAATGCTAACCAACTACAGATTATCCGCATAGGCATCATAAGGAATTGGAGCAAAACAGGTCAAGCGGCTCGCGTAAGCAAATTGAAAAAGAGAAACAAAAGAAAAATACGTCTCTCCCCCCCTGTGACCCCCCCCCCCCCCCCCCCCCCCGGTTGCACGGAGAAGAAGTACAATTGTCCAAGCGTGGTCTTCTTCCTCTTCAGCTTCGCACGCAGCAGCTAGCAGACGTCTGTCTCTTCGAGGTATACGCGCAGGAGATGACGAAGAGGATTTCATACTACGGGTATACGAAGCTGATCCCTTACGCAATGCTGGAATTCGGACATGGGTCAGTCCATTGCGACTGGTATCCCACCAATGTCATTGTTTCGCATCACATCAGACAGGCATCTCAGTCGACGCTACACATCTAGGCATTGTTCACAGAGGGGCAAAGCCTGTCCATTCTTCGAGTATCCTTTAACTAGCGCCAGTCAAGAACCGAATTCCAAACCTTAGCGAGCGACGTGGCAGGCATCTCCATCCCTTGCTCCACGCTCAGCCGAGAGTGGGATCATCTTCACCACCACAACCGGCAGAGCCAATCCATTCACCAATCGCTTCTCCCGCTCTTCTTCGAAGAAATAAAAAAAAAAGAACAAAGGAAAAGAAAAACACCCAGATATCAAATCCATGCGTCATCATCAAAGTCGTAACGATCGAAAGAGGGTCAGTCATTCCCAAAGAAAAGTAAACAACCAACAAAGAAGTGAAGAGATATAAAATCGCCTCTTGGGTGTCTCGTCTTCGCCATTTTCTTCCCCTTCCTCGGGCCTGATGGTTACTGGCCAGGAAGAGGCGTATGCAAAGTATGCCCAGAGTCGCCAATGCCAAGATTGGTCGCAAATATTTCCAAGAACAATGTTCCAGGTGAAAGGGAACCTCTGCGACGAAATGCCACTCTGGGCGTGTCGCGGGGCTGTACATATGGTTGATGATCATGGTGATGGTGCCGTCTAAATCCTCGCAAGTCCGAATGCTTCCTAATCGCAGGTGGCCGCCACTGCAGTGCTTGCGGAATGAGACGGGCGGCCAGCCCCGCCTGATGCGATGCTGAGAGGTATAAAAAAGATTTAAAAAAGAAGAGCAAAAAAGTGAGGTGAAACAAGTCTGCTCCGGACGCCTTTGTATGCAAAGAAATGCATGCCCCCCTCCCTCCTCCCCCGGTGGGTATATGGGTTATGATGCGCCTGGGAAAGCCCCTCAAAGGTTTCCCAAAAGACCTATTTGGACATAGAAATGAGGCGGTCAAGCCGTTTCCCCGACGCAGAAGAGTTCGATCTCGCCAACTCCTCCCGGTGCGGTGTTGCGGGCGCCTTCGCGCCACTCGATGAAGGCAATCTGGATGTCGTCGTCGCTGGCAATGGTAACAAAGTCACCGTCCTCGTCCTGGTAGCGCAGCTTGAGCATGCCCTTGCTGATGCTGCTGCTGGTAAACCTCGCGAGCTTGGCATCGATCCGGTCAATCAACGATTGGTAAGTGATGTTGAACGCAACAACCAGGGTTACGTAGTTGCCGCTGTCGACAAAATTGACCTTGACCTTGAGCTGCGTTGGAATCGGCAGTTCCGGGCTGGCAAGCGGGTTGGACGAGGAGCCGCTGATACCACTGCCAGGGGGCGGGGACAGCATCGCGTTCATGGATGCGGCAGCGTCGATGCTGAGCTGTCGGTCGTGACCAGAATTTGGCGTTCCCTGGCGAGGGTAGATCGGCTGGGCGGGAAACTGAGACATGGTCCCGCCGTAGCTTCCGGACTGATGGTGACCATACTGGCGCTCACGCTGGGTACCGGGGCTCTGCGTGTTCGTTCGGATGGGAACGTCGTTCGTCCTGGGTGAGCCGGTTTGCGACCGAGGTATGTTCTGGTCGTGGGCGGGGTGCAAGTGTGACGGGATGCCAGGCACCGCGGGGATAGGAGTACCTCCCTGAGTGCGACGGATGCCTCCAGGCCCGTTGATATCAGGCGTGCTGTATGACCTGCTGCGTTGTTGCTGTGCGGCACTCTGGCTGTTAGAGGCCATGGCGGGCAGTGAGGGTCCACGAGGGTTCCTCTGCTGGGACCCGTCTCGGGAGGGGGCGCGAGGCATCGCCGGGGCCGTGTATCTCTGGTTTGGGTCGTCCCACCCGGAACCGGGCTGCGGGGTGAGGGACTTTGGAAATTGGTATCCCGGGTTGGGGAACATGGTACTCGCCGTGCTCGTTCGCGACGAGACGGGCGACTCAGCCACTGGCGAGAAGTATGAATCGCCACCGCGACCGCCGGGCGAAGTCGCGCCCGAGGGGAGAACCTGGGTTGTGAGGCTCAAGGGGGCGGGAGGCTGAGGAAGCGGGAAGCGGGGCGGTGGCACCCTCACCATGCCGGCGAGACTCTCGCCCGTGGCGGCGCGTTGCCGCAGGCTCGTGCTTGACGCATTGCGAGGAAGCATGCTGCCTCCCGTCGACTGAGTCGGCGGGGGGAATTGGGCGGGAGCCGAGGCCGCCGGCCACAGCTCGTCGTCATCATCCTCGTCTTGCTGGTTGAGATACGGGTTCTCGAGCTTGGCGGCGTTGTCGCGGGTCCAGGCAAAATCAGGGGCCGCGTGATCAGGGCTCGCCGAAACCTTGGTGGGCGCGTTCTCCTTACGTTGCGCCTCTAGAGCGACGGCCCATTTCTTCATCTGCTCCTCGTTGGTGTACTTGATCATGAAGTTCTCCACGCCGGGGTCACCCTTCCACCAGATTTGAACGCTGTACGATCCTATCCCTTGGTTAGTGCCAGAGGCATGCGTGGCTGATTTCCTGTGCTTACCAGGCTTTGCGAGCGAAACCACGTCAGTGACGTTGGTCATGAAGATACGACCCTTCAGCTGAAGCCTGGCATTCTTGTTTCGCATCTTGGGCCCGGTCGATCTGGTCTTGTCCTTCTTGTCCTTGCTCTTGTTTGCCGATATTTCCTTGCAGCAGAGCAGGATACACTCGAACAGATAGATCTCGTACTATTCCAACATTAGCACAACAGCTCCAGAAAATGCCGGGTGGCACATATCCCGGAGTACTTACGTCTTTTTCCTGTTCACTCTTGCCCGTAACAACGGTATAAACGCCGTGCATCAACAGGCGGCCGAACTGCTCCACGCGGTGATTCTTCCAATCGTCCACACGGTTTCGCAAGTCTTCGAGAGCCTCGTCCAGGAGATCGCGGTTGACCTCCTCGTTTGCCTTGGAGAGCACGCGTTCCGCAGCTTCGATACCGGCCGCCAGGTCAGCCTTGATTGCGTCGTCCTCGCTCTTCTTCATGAGATCCTTCAGCAGTAGCGGGTACTTGACAAGTCGCTGCATGGGCTTGAGCAGGAAACCGTCCAGAGTGTTGAAGTCGGCGGCCACAGGATGTCCGCTGGCCTTGATCTGGTCGAAGACTTGGTTCGCGACCTGGGCCGCCTTGCGCTGGTTGGCGATGAAGGGCCTATAGATGTCGAACGATTCTTCGTACGTGACAAAGGGTGCTCCCCATTGCTGCACCGGCTTGGGCATGGAGTTGGTCGTCTCCACACGGATGAGGAACCGGCGCTGGAAGTCCAGAATGGCGTTAATGTTGAGGAAAATCTGGTGGATCGTGTCGCCGGTGATGATTCCCTTCGTCTCCAAGCTACTCTTGAGGTCATAGAGGTTCTCCAGATCCTGCACATATTTGCGCTCCGTGTCGACTAATTCCTTCACAATGTGATCCCGGTAACTCAGCTTGGAGCCCGGTTCGAGGGGTAGGTCATCGTCGGGGTAGGGCTGCAACTGTTGCAGAAGCCCTCGTTGTTCGGCGATATCGAGGACGTAGTTTACGACTTGGGTTGTCTGTGTAGAAGGTTAGGCAACCCGGCTTGGGGATGAGGGAGGGCAGAGACGAGGGGGGAGGGCTGTTGTCGACATGGAGAGCGAGACCGCGGGTACGGAAGGGCGGCAGTTTCACATACCTTGACAAATCCGGTGGTGTCATTGCCCAGCACATCACTGATGACGAAGCATTCGGCCGAGGGGATGCCCAAATCCTTGAGACAGGCCTGGATGAACTTGAAGAGGGCGATTTTTGCCTTTTTGCTGTCGTTTGCATTTGCGTTTGCCTCTTCGATCTCAAGGGGCTTTTCAGGCTGCAGGGCGTTGTAGATGTCGAGGAGGGGGTAACCGGTGCGGAAGAGGCTCCACAATGACTCGACAGGGTCGTTGGGGTCCAGTTGCTGCAAATAGGGGTCGAAGTTGGGCACTTGGGAAAGGCGCTGCTTCAACGACATGCAGATCTGGTAGAGTGAGCGCGAGGCATCGGCCTTTTGGTTGATAATGTTGGCGGTGGCAACGACGGGGCCGCCATTGTGCGGGGGCGTTACGGTAGACGCGCTGTTGAAGGAGGCTAGCGAGGCGGAGGAGGTGAAAGCTGTCGAGCCGGAAAGCTGGCTGGCGCGGGGCGCATTACTCATGGTATTGGTGAGGCTACCGATTCCGTCGGGTTGCTGGAATACAGGAGCCGTGTTCGTTCTCAGGAGGGGAGCATGAGCCATGACGTCCTAACCCATCCGGCGAAATGAAGGGAAAGGGGGGAGGAGGGGAGGGCTGGCTCGACGGTGGGACGACGGTCGGGAGGATGATCGACTTTGGAACGGGGATATCGTGACGGGCGAGGAACGGGGGCGAAGCGGTTGGGGATCGATGAAGCGCTTTCCTGTACTGGATCACAGACAGGGTCACGTCATCCAGCGCTGGCGTTGTCGAAAGTCGGTCTGGTGGCGCGGGCTCTCTCGGGGATGCAAAAGGGTCGGCGGTTGGGAGGAGAAGCGACAATGTAGCGGTCACGGTCGGCGCCAAGGAAGGCTCTCGGGGTGAATCGACGTCTTCGCGAAAAGGGTTGTCTTTTTCCCTGAGGTTCTGCGAGACAGGATCGAAGAAAAGCAAGGGTCGAGTCGAGACGGTCGGCGTTGGGTCTGCGTTCAGGTTTTTCCCCCCCTCGCGATGTCGAACGGCCCTTATCGATCGTTTGGCTCAGCAGTGCGCGGCAGCAGCAGATGGAGGAGAAAGGAGATGAATTGGAGAAGCCGTACGTGCCCGTGAGTGTGTACGTGTGAGTGCGTGTATGTGTGTGTGTGTGGGTGAGTATGTGACAGAAGTGCCGGCGCCGAGTGTCGGTGGAGGAGGGAGGTTGGGCTGGCTCGGGCGGGTCTCCTTTCAAGTGAACGAGTCGAGGTTGCGGAGCGGGTGCGGAGCGTTGCGGGCTATCGGGGCGAAACAAGCTGCTTTGGGTTGTTGACCCCTGCGCGCAGTTGCTTTTCGGTACCCTTGTGGAGGCGATGAAAGGGGAGGGAGAGAGAGAGAGAGATTGTGTGTGCGCGTGTATTTCGACTGGTCAGAATATGGACGGACGGCGTTCAGGTGGCTCTGTGTGAAGGCCGAGTCGGAGGGTATTTCAAGTTTAGGTTGGCGGTGATATCGCCGGAGTTGGGGGCGTTGATGTTGCAGGGCGCAGACCGATGCAGCAGGCGTGCATGAGGGCTGCTTTCGGGGGAGGGAACTGGGCTGGATAACCGACCCAATGTACACTGAGAGTTCAAGGCGCGAGCGCAAGTGCTACCTATACTGCGTAGGTAGGAAGGTACCTAGATGGGTAGGATGTACCGTGGTAAGGTACCTTGGGTAGGTAGGTAATGTAGGCTGGTTCACTGTCCGTGTGTGTGCATGCATGTAGGTTGGTATTGACAGGCAAGGGAAGAGAGAACAGGAGGTAGAGGGCGAGAGGGGGGAGAGGGTAAGGCGAGGCAAACCAAAAAAGATGGGCAGTAAGTAAGGCGGGCGGGCATCTGAAGGGTCCGGTCCTTGTCGTCCAAGGAAGGAAGGGCCAGGCCAGTCAGGACAAGACAGGAAAGGACGGGGTTTCCGATTCCAGTGGCAGGCAGGTTCCCAGTCTCCAGTTCCCCTCTTCCTCTTTCATTTATTACGCTCTTTACGCTGACTTTTGCTTCATTCCACGGGCCTTGTTCTGTCTATTTTATTTTTATTCTCTTTCTTTTCTAGGGTGGTGGTAGTGATATTACTGGGTGTTGGTAGAGGGGGAGGACGAGTAGGAGGAGTAGGTGGTGGTGGTGGTGGTGGTGGTGGTAATACTCAGTGGTGGGACAGAGAAAGGGGAAGGATGGCAGGGGACAGGGAAGTGACAAGGGGGGCACTGCTAAGTATCAACGGCGGGAGATGGATAGGTAGTACGGTCTGGTGGGTGGTGGTGTGGTATGTGCGTGGTGTGGTGCGGTGCGGTGTACGTATTCGTACATTGTGCGTCGTACCTATCTACCTAGGTAGGTAAGAAGTGACTGTAGGTACCGTAGTAAAATAGTGTCTGTGTGGAATAGATATCTGTTCAAGTATTGGCAAGTGGGAGGGGATAGCGTGGATTGATTGGGCCGAGCATCTCAGGTTTGGTTCCTCTTTATGGGGGTGTGAGAATGGGAGGGAAGAGGGGGAGGGGAAGAGGAAGGTACGAAGGACTCTCTCTCTTTCCTTCTCTGCCAGCGGTAGTGGAGGGGAAAGAGGGACAGAAACTGAGAGAGAAGGAGAAACCTACAGTACCTGCCTAAGAACAGAAAAGAGAGGCGCTGAGAAACAGAGGCACGGAGACTACCTAGGTACCTGCAGGCTGCAGAGACGTACCTAGATAAGTGCCTACACAAGCTGGCCACTCTACCTTAGGTAGGTAGGTAGTGTACTCTACTCTACTCTACTCTAGGTACTCTACTCGCATTGATTCCGATCGAGGTTCGAGCGTTTCAAATTAGCAGATAAAACACTAGGACCAATTAGGCATTGCCTCCCCGTCGCAGTGGACAGATCATCGCGTCTCCCATTGATTGAACAAGATGCCCTCGTGGTACGCTACTTGCTTGCACGCGCGCGGTAGTCTAATTGCGGTTCCCCCTCTTTGATCTTGACCATCCACTCACTCACTCAATCCCACTTCGACCAAGGCATCAAGTTTTGGTCGACATGGCATGTCCGAATCTCCCCTTCCCCCATTGCGCTCGCTACGCATGCATGGTCAATACATGGTACAAGGCACATGCACTCGCTGCCACCTACCTACCCACCTACGCAGTATCTCGCGGCGGCGGCATCTGGGAAACACCTTGGTCCGTGGCTTTACAGAACGACATGGGGTCCGGGAGGGGAGTACCTAGACATAAGTACCTCAGTCTTGGGAAAGAGGACGACCAAGGTGGACAAGTGACGACTGCCATGGATTAAGGCGGCATGGCATTGTTCCAGAAGGTAGATGGAACAAAGGTAAGGCGAAGGTAGCGTCCACACTATGTACAAGCCCCGGAGCTCAAAGGTTTGAGGAGGAAGGCTACGTTTGGGACTTGGGACTGGGGCTAGGGGACTATAGTAGGTAGGACCTTGAGACTTGTCTGGCCAGATGGATGCTTTCGGGTCGATGTCAAAGGAAAGGCAGAAATGGAGATGGACTGAAAGCACTTCAACAGCATTCTTTACCGAGTCCTTGCTTGCCTTCTTCATGCTGCCTCTCCCTGTCTTCCGTTCGCTCGCTCTGTGCTTGTCCCCGCGACTACATACACCACACACCTATCTTATCTCGGGTGCCGACTGTATGCCCATTTTGTGACTGTCACTTTCATGCCCTGAATGCCGAGCATGTATGGTATGGTATGGTCAGTACCTAATCGATAGTACATCATACATATCGCCCCGCTGCCGTGTTTTGTCAGCTAGCTAGCTCATCGACCCAACGTGGTTTGAGTTTGAGACAGCAACACCGGATACCTGGAGCAGTCTCCGCCCATACCACTTAGTAAACTACCTACATGAAAGCAGCGCCGGATCGATGGTGGTGTATTACAGTACACGGACGATACCTTACACCATAGTAGCACCGCGTCCTTTGGCCATGTACATGTACAGGTGTGAGAGAGCCGGCCCCTCCTCTCTTTCTCTCTGCAAGGTATGCATACTCGTCGCACAATATGGCCCTGCCCTGCCCTGCCCTGCTTGCTGCTCCTTTATCCTTCTTCCGTCGCTGGAGAAAACCAGCGGATGCATGGTTGTGACGAAGAACGAACCGACTGCCCAGCCAGCCCACCACCTTTCCATCCGTCCGTCTCTGCCCTCAGGGTGGCATGTCGCCGGCCTGCCTACTTACCTACTTACTTGCTTGCTCGACTTCTACTACTTTGCACTACTGTCAATACCAAGCTCCAACAGGTACTTTCACCCAAGGTAGGCGAGTTGGCCAAGATGCTACTTGCTTGCTTGCTTGCCCGGTACCTGTGCCGTCCTCGGTACGTACCGACCGTACAGGCTGTGATAAGTCCGATAAGTCCAGTCAGCAGCCTACCTACCTAGGCCGGCACCTACCTACTATGTAAGATGTCACTGCCTCTCCACGTGTAATTCCTGTCCTACCTACCTACCTAGGTAGTAGGCAGTTAGGGAGTCCTCCCAGAGTACGTACTATATATCGCCCACCTACCTCTCCAAGGTGGCGAACTGACCTCCTCGACGAGGAAAGAACGCCTCTTCGTCCAAAGAAGCTTCCCTCTTGCATCATCTCTTGGCCAGTCCAGCGTTTGGTCCAAGGCCCTTCTAGACCTCAACCAAGCTCGGCTTGCTGCACCTTACATGCCTTCCCGCGAACAGGGCATCCTCCCTCCTCGCCGTCCGTTCCTCTCGACAAACCCCGATCGGCCAGCCAACGGCTCAATGCGAACCTGCCTACCTATGTCACGGGCTTGGTCTCTTCCCCTCCTCGACATCGTCGAAACTGATGATGCGCCCCTACGCCCCTCTTCCAAGCACAGCCATCTGTCTGGCCATATCTGCAGCCTTCGGGCCTCCCCCACGTTGTTCCGCCGACCCAAAGTCTCACCCCGCCATCCCCTACAATCTACGCAAACACGGACGAGTTATATGAGCTAGGTATTCAGTGCTCGGGATGACACAGGCTCTTTGATCCCCTGGCCAAGCCATTGGGGGGAGGGGGAAGAAGAGAAGGAGATGGCACTCTTCGTGAGCCGCCTCCCCACCCCAATCGACCTGACTAACCACGGGCGGGTGGGTCCGGCATCTCGGACAATCGCATGAGCATCTCCCACCCGCCTCTTGTTTCGCTCTCCAAAAGCACAGAACTGTCCTGTTCTGGCCAAGGCCACAAGGCCACGACCTGCGCTCTGCAGCTTGGCCCTGCCCTGCCATGCCAATGGTCCACTCCAACTTTTTCGGCTTTCACTTTCCAGGGTACCAGGGTCGTTCGCTCGAGCTGTTGGCTATCCTGATAGTCGAGATCGAACTAAGCCTACTGCAGAATCGTCGGCAGGCTGTCCGAGCACATCGACTATGGCTGCACGACATTCCAAACGTACTGCCCGACCGTTTTGCCGTTGAAACTCTCAATGACTTTCGCCCAAACCGCGGTGCCCTGCACCCTCCCCTCCACACCGAGCAGGTGAGTCTAGTATCCTGAACCGTGAATCAGGCCCGGCAGGAACATCCGCCATATGGCCGACCAGAACCTGTGAAAGGAGTTGGGACACGTCTCCTCACGGACCCGGTAGGCTACCACGCTGGCCCACCCGGCCCAAATAAACAAAGGGGAGCCTCATACCGCGAATATTCAAGACTGTTCTCATAGAGTGTACCGTGTCTTGGAGGAGGAGGAGAAGGAAGGTAAATGGGTGTATCCGCAGTCCGCTCTGGACGAAGGAGAGAGGGGGGTTATGTGCCTACGCCCACTACCGTGACGCTGCGGGTCGCTATTCTAGCCATGAGACTTGGCTTCCCAACACTGTGCACGCCGGGTCTGCAGCTCATGCCCCTTGTTTATCGCTGGCGTGACCATGAGGAAGCAAACTTGCCAGCCCCAGGCGCGGCAGTCACGTCCAGCCCTCAACACCAGAGGCTACGAATGGCGCGTCTCAGTCTGGGCCTGGGCGGTCTGCGCAGCGGCACCGTTGCCAGTCCTTGGGAGCAAGAGGCGTCGTCCGTGGCGTGAATGGTCGACGCCGCGCGTCCTTTTCGAAAAGCGGACATGGCCGAGAGGCTCGACGGGCCCTAGGGGAGCGCGCTGATGACCCGATAGTCGCTACCCCGGTATGATCTTGATGTCTTTCCCGGTTTACCAGAAGCTGCCCGACGTTTGCATTATGTCTAGTTTCTACGGCATATGTATACATCACAGACGGACCGGTTGAGCCAATGAGAAACTCGCGAAAGGATCCGGTCCGGATTCCGGGGGACGGTTCACGCATATGCCAAAGTTGTCGTCATTGGACTGAGGCTCACAAACGATAAACCAAATGGGCATAGTTCCCTCGGGACAAACCTTTCGTGCATGCACCTTCGCGGCTCATCCCCTAGCTGGTAGGCGTTCGTGGTGGAGCCCTCAGCAGTCCAAGAGCCCGAGTACCCCGGAAAATCACTTTGGGGGTTTCTACGGATCGGGGCGACTCATCGACCTTGTTTGCTAGGTAGACTACGGCAAACAATTACCGGTACTTCCTACGCCACAACCATCATGGATCGTCTCTCCTATCCGCGCCGCGAGGCTACTAGCGGCGCTTCCGGAGATAACCAACTGGGAGGGAACACGGCGATTCATCTTCGGTACCGTTCCCCAAATCCACTCGACTGTTTGGCTTCACGATTGGATGCGACTCATCACGCATGGTGTTTTGCACTTGCGCCAATCAATGACTACCTGTCTGCGTTGCATGGATGGTTCTTCACGCAGGGCGGGGCCCAGGAGGACAACATCGTCGGCCTTCACTGTGATAAAATGATGAGACAAGGGAGTCCTGGACAGATTTGCACAAGAGGCGAACTCCCTCTCAGAACCTAAGCCCGCCAGTGGTTTCTAGTGTCTGTAGAAACCTTGCAGGGGACGCGCGAAGCTTGGTGCGGGTTCGCCGCCGTGGCTGAGAGCACCGGAAGTTCGTGGGTCATCCTCTCTGCCTGGATTTGGAGTCGTCCGCTCCCGCTGCTCACGCAATGGAAACGGAAGAAACCAACGGTGGGAGCATCGCATTGGGCTCTGGGAGGGCAGTGGTCGAAGCAAGGCTGGCTCGATCGACTCGACTGAGTTAGCCGGCTCCCCCACTCACGCCCGTTATTGATATTGCCGAGAGTTGTTCCATAGGTAGCACGGAACGACGATTAGAACCTGTCGTAAAGTATCGTCACCACCATCGATCCTCGCCGTGCACGTGTTAGTGACAGGCGATCACAAATTATTCTACCTTTCCTTTTTTTCGCAAACACGCTAGGATGCTGACGGGCGCAAGGGGAAACCATGAAGTCGGAGGGTAAAATAGCAGGGCGAATGGGGTATGCCGTGATACTTTCTTGGTCCCCTCCCCGGCCACAGATTGATCCAACTACGGGGTAGGTAATACACAGGACACGGTATAAGTCGAACCATTACCAGTGCGTGCATCTCGATAGTTCAAGGGCATGTTGGGAGGGCTCATTCGGCAAGGTTTCGAACCTTGCGGAGGCGGGGAGTAGGATTCGTGCAAAGCAGTACAAAATAACACCCCCATACGTAGAGAAGGGCAAACTCTTAATCCTTTAATCCCCCTCCCCCTTCTTGTGGGGGTTTGGCACGTCGAAGGTGGGAGATGTGATAGACGCCCAGACGTGAAAAGACACGAAAGGGGGATAAGGAAGAGCGCAAAACAGCCAAATTGCAAAACAGGGGAGGGGAAGAAGGAAGAAAGAGTTGGCCCAAAAGTTCGTTAGTCCGAGTCTGTACCATGCACAGGGCACTATGTTGTCGCGTAGATCGGGTAGACCACGTAGTATCTGTATACCTATTATCGTGAAAGGAAAGGGGGGGGCAGAGGGAAGAGATCATGACTATGGGACACTTAACAAATGCCTTTTTCTGTCTCCCTTCCAGGATGGAGGATGACCCTCAGCGTGGCGGTTCTCGACGGCTCGGAGTTTTTTCCCTCCCCCCTCTTCTTCTCTCGGGCTACCGTGGTGCCCCTTGTGGAGGGGAAGAAGAAGAAAGGGCTGAGTGGTTGTCCGCGATTGAGTTAAGTTGCGGCTCATCAGGGCGGGAAACGCCTGCGAGGGTGATGAAAAAAAAAAGGCAATCTCGACGACGAGAGAGAGGGGGTGGGGGGAGAGAGACAAACTGCTCACCCATCCACCCCTATGTCGAACGTCCAGCGTAATGCTTGAGGCCGCCGGCAGTTGGTAGTGAGTGTCACGACGGGAGGGCGAGTCGTGTTTACTGGATAACCAGCGTGAAGGAGTGTGGGACGCGTCGAGGTTTAAAAGCCATTTCATCATTCCAAGCAATATTCTGACGGACTGAAGACACTTTTAGTGAGTGAGTGAGTGAGTGGATGAGTAAGTGTTTGTGAGTGGGGAGAGAGTTTGTGAGCGTGTGTGGGTGAGATGAGATGAGATGAGATGGAAGATTTCCAATGAGCATCCCCAACTACCTACGGCGCAAGTATGTACTTCTCAGTGCACGACCGAACCCAGCAAACTATGAACGACAGGGAGTATCCAGTCCTCCCTTACACCTCTTGTCCAGCTTCACTCCTCTGCTCCGCTGGCCCCCCACCCCGCCTCCTCTGCCGCCCGCCCCATCGGCCCCTCTCCATACACTCCTACACGTACAGTATGAAAGACAGGTAGATGCTTGGCCGGTGGTCCACACGTCGTGGCGGTCGAGGGTTCCGCTGTCGGGCCGCAATAAAAGGGCATGACCGGTTCGCCACCCGATCGCCCATCTCAATTCTCAGTAGTTGTAGTGTCCACCACTACGTACGCGACGCGAGTGTTTCGTTGCAGCGGGCCAACAGAAAGAGGGGGAATGGGGGGGTACGGGTGAGGATGAGGGTTTGGCGGACGACGATGGCAGGAAAGAAAAAAAAAAGTCCGGCCCGTGGATAAACTTCCTAACCGGCCGGAACAGGGGACGGCCGAGGTTATGGTTATTCTTTTTGTGTTTGTGTGTGTGAGTGAGTGAGTGAGTGAGGTACCGCCGCCATGGGGGAAGGGTTCGGGGTTCTCTCCCCTCGGGGCGGACGTGTCTCCTTCCGTCTTCCGCTCCGTTCCATTCTCTGACCGCCCGCGTCCCCCGCCTAGGAACCCTTTGTGCAGCAGAACGGGGATTTAGTTGGCGGCAGTTGGCGAGGCGGCGAGGCGGGGGGGGCTGGATGGATGGATGGATGGCTCTGGACCCCCCTTTACAGAGTTCGCCGCGCACACAAGTGTAAAACTGGGTAGGCACGAAGCAGTCTACGTTAGTTCCCATACTGCCACTGCCCTGTAGTGCACAATAATATGGTATCTCGTGCGTTCGGAGGCGGTATGCATACGCATAGTGTAGCATGAAATCGGTACACATGCACTTACTCTGACCCCAACGATACACAGTACAAAATCACGGTGCAGGGATGGGATACACATGCATGCACATAATTACGCAGCCTACGGTACGGCACTACACTATGGCATGCATAGTAAACTCACTGCCTTACCTATCATGGTATCGTGTAGCACGGGTGGCCGACGCGGCAGACTCGGGCGGTGGCCAGACGGGCATGGTCGGCCGTCCTGCTTTGGCTGCAGCTCCTTGCCCACTCCGTCCTCTTTTTCTTGCCCCAGTACCCACCCCCGAGTTACCCTCTCCTCCTTCTGGTGGCGAGGGTGAAGACTGGAAGTGAGTGGGATAGGAGAGGAGCACGAGTGAGAGCGAGGGGAGGTGGAAATCATGGGATTAGGAGATTTGGGGGGCAGGGAGGGATGGAGATGGGGATCTTAAGATCAACGGTATTTATCTGTACACGACACGGCATATGACATGATGATTTCGTAAATATTCGTACGATGCACAATGGGAAAAGAAGCCTTTCCCTTGTCTCGTTTGACCTCCCGCCCGACAGTGGTCACGGCACACGGCAGCCTGCAGCTCGCATAACAGAGCGTCCCGCCTGCAAACCCCCCTGGTTGGTCACGGTTACTTTGCATCGGCATGGGTAGGCCAAGGCACTTAGGTACAGGTAGGTAGGCAGAGAAGGGAGGTAAACAAGGTCAAAGGTACATATTCTGCAGCTCGGTGGTGTGTGTCTTGTCGTCCTGCAACGGTCGCCATCCGGCCGCTCCTCCCCGCCTACTCTGTGTATACTAAGTACACACTGCCTAGGTAGGTACTTGCACGCACACGACCTACGTACGATATATGCCATTTGCCATTTACCATTTGCTTTGCCTTGTCTTTCCTTTCATTACCTGGTTGGTAGGTAGGTGGCGTAAAGACCGCGGCCGCCCCCTCCGAAAGTCCCAACGTCAATCCCTAAACAGGATTTCCCCAACTCCACCTCTCTCTCTCTGCATCCATCTGCATTCATCCATCCACTACACAACACTTCAGCCACCACAGCCAAGCAAACAAGCAAGCAAGCAAGCAAACAAATAAATCGACCGTCGACCAAGCATCTTACTAACGAGGGTAGCCCTTTCAACAGTTCCTCTCTCAGAACTCTCCTTGTGCCATTACCCTCCCCCACCGGGCGCTTCGCGCTTCCTTTTCCGCGACTGGTTCTCTCTCAATCAACACAACCCGGTATCCGTACCCCCCCCGTCCCAACTAAACTAATTCACCCATCTACCCATCCATCCAACCGTTCCATCGACATCCTTTCGTCGTCATATTTTTCTTCTTTTTTCCTTGTTCTTGGTTTTGTTTCTGGATGCGACAACGGCAACAACCTACGCTATTCACTATTGCAGCAAACCATCGTATCGCAGTCCAAAAGAAGCCGGCCCGTCACCCTCTACGTCACGTCAGCCAGTTCTGACCGCGACATCAAATCAACCACCCCTGCGCATCTTCCCCGGCAACCCGCGACCGCACCAGCATCACCTCCACATTCGGCATACCCATCCTTTGGAGGTGAAGTCAATTCCACCTCACCTTGTTTAGCCCTCCCGTCCGCGCGACGAACCCCGAGCCACGAGCACGAGCACAAGCACGAGCCTCCTTCGTCCCTCGCCCGCATGGCCCGCGACGACGCATCCCACTAGAGAGTTGCTAGAGAGCTGTGGCGACTAACCACCCTGACACCTCCCCCACCAAACACAACTCGCCCAACCGCCCGATATGGCTGCCTTCGTCTCGCAAGACCCCGACGAGGGCTACTCTGAAGATCCCCTCAATCCCGGCTTCGGCGCCTCTCAGGATGTCTCGTCCACCTCCTCATCCTCCGCCGCCGCTGCCGCCGCCGCCCGCCCGCCCGCCGATTTGCCTGCCTGGCTGGCAAGACACATCCCCAGCCTTCCCGTCGCCGCCAGAACCGGTACGTCCCTTTGCTCTGAACTGCACCACCACCTGCTGCTTGCTTCACAAGGCCGGTACAGAATCCATCTTGAACTGACTTTGTCTCTTGTCAACAACCAGAGCTCGCTATAGCCCTCCTCGAAAACCTGCCCACGTCGGCCCTTTTGCAAATCGTCCAGCGCCTCCACCCTCGCCTCTACATTGACTTCGTCCACTATCTCCCTCCAGAGGTCTGCCTGAAGATCCTCGCCTACCTCGACCCCATCTCCCTTGTCAACGTCGCCAAGGCCTGCCGCGCCTGGCACGAACTGGCCATCGACCGCAAGCTGTGGGAGAAGCTGTACCACCTGGAGGGCTGGAAGGCCCTGTACCCCGAGATCCGCCTCTGGGAACAAAAGGTCAACGAAGGCCTAAACCAATCCGCCAGCTCCCTCCACAGGGTGCGCTCGTCCGAGGATGGCCACACGTACAAGAAGCGCGCCATATCCGAGGATAATGACCTCGAGATGACGGACGCCGGAGTTGCCTCGTCCACTGGTGTCAGGGAAGACTCGGTAAACTCTACCAGCTCCGTCTTTGGCACCAGCATTTTCGGCAGCCCCGCCTCGTCCTTCACTGGCTTCGCTCAGAACTCGGCCACGCCCCAACCGGGAGACATGGACGTCGACCGCTCCTCTTCTGGGCCCAAGAGCCGGAGCGGAGAGAGGAGTTTCGGCATCGATTCTAAGGGCAAGGGCACAGCCTCGCCCATGCTCCGCGCAGCGCTCGTCAAGGAGGAATCGCTCCCCCCCATGATTCCCGCCGACGCGCCGGGCGGTATTGCGCGGTCGACACTGTGGTCCTGGGACGCCCCAAGCGCAAAGTACAGAGTCAACTGGAAGTATCTCTACACGATGCGCCGCCGTCTAGAGCAGAACTGGGAACTTGGCAAGTTCTCCAACTTCCAGCTGCCGCACCCCGACCACCTGGATGAAGGCCACCAGGAGTGCATCTACAGCCTGCAGTACGACAGCGACTACCTTGTCAGCGGCAGTCGAGATAAAACGATTCGCATCTGGAGCATGCACACCCGTCGGTTGCTTCGAAAGCCGCTCGAGGGGCACGTCGGATCCGTTCTGTGCCTTCAATTCGATTCCGACCCGGAGGAGGACCTCATCGTCTCCGGCAGCAGTGACTCGGACGTCATTCTCTGGCGTTTCTCGACAGGCCAGATCATCCAGCGGCTCAAGAACGCGCACATCGAGTCTGTCCTCAACGTCAAGTTCGACAAGCGGATCCTGGTCACCTGCTCCAAGGACAAATCCATCAAGATCTTCAACCGCCGGCCGTTGAAGTACGGAGATGCCGGATACGGTGACCTCGACGTCGTTTTCTCCGCCCCGACGCACCTGCGGAACTACGGCTACGCGAACCCCTTGGATGAGTTGCCCGTCAAGCCACCCTACACCATGATTGGTGCCCTGGAAGGCCACGGCGCGGCCGTCAACGCCGTGCAGATCTGCGATAATGAAGTGGTCTCGGCCAGCGGCGACAGAAACATCAAGGTTTGGGACTGGGCCAAGCAGGTGTGCATCCGGACGGTCGTTGGCCATAGCAAGGGCATCGCCTGTGTGCAGTACGATGGCCGGAGGATTGTTAGTGGCAGCAGCGACAACGAAGTCAAGGTCTTTGACCGGACGACGGGTCTCGAGGTAGCCAGCTTGCGAGCACACACCAACCTCGTCCGCACCGTGCAGGCCGGCTTCGGCGACCTCCCTTACAGCGCCGCCGAGGACAGGGCCGAGGCGAGGCGCATCGATGAGCAGTACTTTAAGGCGATAGAGGACGGCATTATCACCCCTTTCTCTGACCACAACCGGAGCCGCCGGGCCCAGCCCCGCAACGCGGGCAGTCGCAGACCGGAAGACATCACGGCGTATGGCGCCGCTCTACCCCCCGGTGGCGGCGGTGGCAAGTACGCTCGCATTGTGTCCGGCTCGTATGACCAGAGCATCATAATCTGGCGCCGCGACAAGGAAGGCGTCTGGAAGGACACGCAGCACCTGCGTCAGGAGGACGCCGCTGCCGCAGCCCAGGCCCAGGCCCGCGCGACCTCGCAGGCTCCTGCAGAAGCCATGCAGGCAGCCACGAGCCAAGGTGCATTGGGGCACCTGATGGCCTCGCGCGCCGCCCAAGGGTTGCCCGCCGCATCTGCCAGAACGGCGACCGGAGCTGCCATCTTGGCCGACGCTGCCCCAGCCTTCATGCATCTGATTGACACGGTCGTGCCCCAAGGGCCGACCCAGCTCCGACAGGCCCTTCACAACCACCCGAACATGGTGGCCGCATACAGGACTCACATCCAGGCGGCCATTGGCCGAGAACCGAACTCTCGGATCAGGGACGATCTCCGTGGCGTGCTGAACGCAGCGCTGTTGGAAGCCCACATCAACCAGTCCCGCGGGCTCGGGGGCAACCGCGAAGGGCCGACCATCGTCCCACCGGCGCTGCCGTCACTTGCTCCGGCAGCAGCTGCCACAGCCGCCGGTCCATCCAATGCCCAGCCAGACGGAAGACCCAGCCGACACCAGAACGCTGCCACCACCGGCAGTTCTTCGGCAGCAAACGTGCCGCAGGTGCAGGGACATTTGCACATTCAAGGCCAGGGTCAGCTGACGCAGCCAGGCGCGCCCATACAGACGCAGGCGACGCCGGTGCCGGTCCAAGGAGTGCAGAACGCGATCGTGCCAGACGCGGTGCACCACCCGCACATCGCCAACGGCGACAACGGCCCAGCGAGGGTCTTTAAGCTGCAGTACGATGCCCGCAGGATCATTTGTTGTAGTCAAACAACTGTCATTGTGGGCTGGGACTTTTGCAATAACGACCCGGAGCTGGAGGAGGTCGCACGATTCTTTGGAACGGTTGAGTAGGCGTCCGTTGGTACGGAAGAGGGAAGGGGTAACTAGTAGCATCACCGGCATAGCGTAATTATATCAGGGCACCGGGGCTTCCCGGATGTATTCACACGGAAGGGGGCGGGGAGGTGCATTAGGAGTTTTGCGGATAGCAAAGAGTGAAATTGGAGATTTTAAGTATGGTCATGATAAACCAGCTGTTTAGAGTGCGGCCGCCCCCCCTGTACTAATGGAAGTGTGGATATGGGGAAAAGTATACCAAAACGCCGTTCAACTCCTGACCATACGTCTTTCGTCGCCGTCTTTCATCCTCATGGTTCGCGTCTCACAAATCTCTTGAAGACAAAACGTCCGTAATGCAAGGGGATCAAGAGAAGAAGAGCAAGAAGAAACGAAAAAAAAAAAAAAAAAAAGGAGAATTGTGGAAGAGAGGAGAAAACGGCTAATACACATCGTTATGAACAACCCCCCCCCCCCCCCCCCGGTCCTACACATCAACCAGCCACCTCCTTGACCTTGGTGCCCTCCTTGGGGGCCTCGTCGATGAATTCGGGCAGCTCCTCCTGCATGAAGCTGGGCAGGCCGGCGCCCATCTCGGGCTCGAGCTCGGCCTCCATGCCGAGGGCCTCGAGCTCGGCGTCGAGCTCGGCCTCGTCGACGTCGTCGGGGATGTCGTAGGAGCGGGCGAGGCTCTCCTGTATGTCGTTCCCGACGTCCATGAGGTCGGCCATCTCGTCCTGGAGGCGCTCGATCTTGTCGATGTCGACCTTGCCGTACTGGCGCTTGAGCTCCTTGTTGGTGGTCTGCAGGGCGTCGACGGTGGCCATGGTGTTCTTGAGGTTGTCCTGCATCGTCTGGGCCTGCTCCATGTTCCAGACCTGGGACTGGAGCTGGTCGCGCTGGCCCTCGTACATCTTGCGGCGCTGGAGGACCTTGAGAGCCTTTTGCTTGATGGCGCTCTTGCCGGGCCCGTCGCGCATCTTGGCGAGCTTCTGCTGGTAGGCGTTGAGCTCGGCGGTGAGGGCCGAGAGCTTGACGTCGATGGAGGAGATGCGGTCGTCGATGTTGGTGATGGCCGAGTTGAGCGTCGGCTTCGGGCCCTTGGGGGCGGTGCCGAAGAGGCGGTTCATGGTGGGAAGGGGTCTTTGTGTCGTGCGCGCGGGGTGGTTGTGTAGTAGGTATGTGAGCAGACTGGAAAGGGGTCGGTGGTGGTGGTGGTGGTGGTGGTGGTGGTGTTGGGGATATCGAGGGAAGGATATCGTCGTCGTCGCCGTCGTCGTCTTCGAGGGGTTTGCACCGCGGAGGCTGGAGAAGGAGAAGCAGGGGCTGGGACGTTGGGTGCCTGGGTGAGGACGTTGCGTCGGTTTTGGTGATGGACCTGCGCCGGGCGGGTTTATCGATAGGAGCCCACCGCCCCGCCGTCGGGAGGTCAGAGGGGATGGTGGGCCCGGCCTGTGGCGGTTGGATTGGTGAGTGATGATTGACGGATCAAAAAAATGGCCGATATTCCGCTGCTTAGTAAGGTATCGAGGCACTTTCAGAGACTCCAGGACGAAATATCCAAGCTAATCGTAATGTGCATTATCGTCTTTTCACCTTGGAATGACATATACAAGTCGGAGTTCACAAATCTACAAACGGCAGATGAGGGACCTTAGTGTACCTACTATCTGTGCAGTTCTGTGGTTCCTTGAAAAGACTTCTCTCATATTGTAGGACTTTGACCATTGGCTTTCCCTCTGCTCTACTACATCGTATGTCACTGCTTTCCCGGTCCAAAAAATCGGCCAAAGGACGGCGATTTCCACGCTTGTCTTCTTTCGACGACGGCTTCAAAAGTGAACAGCATACCAACCGTCCTTTCTCCTTCTCTCTGCGGGGCGCTCTCGGGACATCTGGGACCAGGGCTTCTCCAGGGGAACTGAGCAAGCCGATGCGCACAGCCTCAGGGGTAGTTGTGCGTGTGCACGGCGAGCCGCAGTTACATAATGGTCTCCTCATACCCCCTTCCTGGGGCATCGCGGCAGTGTCGTATAATGAGCCGCCAAGATTTAATGACTAAAAAAGGGTTTCCCCAGCCAACCGTCAGGGGAGAGCACCGGCGTTCGTGAACGGGTCTTTTTGAACGGTTTATATTCTTTCCCATCTATTTCGCTCCTGTTGACCGCTTCCCCTTTCCCTCCCCGCGCCTGAACACCTAGATCTTGATGTAGCACGTGAATGTACTTTGTGACGCAGACGGGAGAAGAAGAAAAAAACCGACCTGCGAGGAGAAGCCCAACATGCGACGGTCGTCGATCGAGGACATGATGGAGGAGGCCAAGACGTGGACGGGGCAGGAGCCGCGCCGCGACGGCCCGGGGGAGGACGATGATGAGGGACACGTCGGGGCTGCTGGCAGCTCCGAGACGGAGGCGTGTCTCGGAGATGATGACAACGAGACACTGGGAGAGTCCTCGTTCGGCTCTGCGGCGTCGTTGCCTATCTACGTGTCGATGCATCGGTACTTTGCCCCTGTGATGCCCTTGACGGGGTGTTGAGCTGACTGTGAAGGTAGTGTGCGTCGGCTCATCATTGCAAGCATAGGTGAGTTGTCGAGCTTCAAAAAAGGGCTCATCATGGAGTTGACAACTGACTGTCCGCCCAGATGATCCCTATACGCTTGATCAGTTGAGCGACCCTAGGATGAACGTGCTCATAGTGAGACCTATTGTCGAGCGCCTGTTCCACCCAAAGGACATCACCATCGGTACGTCGAGTCTGAGCCCCTTTTTGGGTCACCACCACCGCCGCCGCCACCACCACTCACGTTCCCTCCAGTCTACTGCCTGCTGGCCAACCGCCTCTACTTCCTCCGCCAGCAAGCCACCTCGGTCCACCAGCCCGTCAACATGGCCCGCGCGACGCTCTGCGAGCTGGTCGCCACCCGCGTCCTCCGCCGTTTCCACGAGGCCAACCCGGGCTCCCAGGGCCTGCTCTTCCTCTCGCACATCCTCGTCGGCGGCTTCGATCCCTTCGAGGGCGCTCCGGAGGCCGTCGAGTCCGAAGGCCGCCGCCAGTGGACCGTCCAGGCCCGCGGCGGCCTCGAGCGCAAGCTCACCGCCCTCGAGCTCGCCATTCTCTCCGAGAGCAAGGCCTTCATCAGCTCCCCCGGCTGCCAGCGCGTTGTCAACGCCGTCTACGAGGGCCGTGTCATCTACACCCCGCTGTCCTTCATCGACATCCTCCCGGACCACTACGAGTACCACCCCATCTCCCTCTACGACCCGCGCAAGGCCCCTATCCTTAACCACTACCGCCTCATCGTCCCGCGCTCCCGCAACTTCATCGAGTTTGTCCAATTCCTCGTGCTCATGGTCCTTTACTTCCTGGCCATGCTCTACCGCCGCAGCAGCAACGAGGTCTTTGAATTCCTCTTCTGCATCTATGCCGCCGGCTGGGTGCTCGACGAGTTCGCCGCTGTCGTCGAGCACGGCTGGGAGGTGCACGCGCAGAACCTGTGGTCCTGGCTCGACGTCACCTTCTCCGCCATCTACGGCGCCTACGTCGTCGCCCGCATCTACGACGTCGCCACCGGCCACTTCCCGGACGGCCACGGCCTGCACATCCTCCCGCTCGCCGCGCCCATCCTGCTGACCCGCATCGCCTTCAACATCGCCCCGGACAACATCGTGCTCATCTCGCTGCACGCCATGATGAAGGACTTTCTGCTGCTGTCCTTCCTCGCCTGCTGGTGCTTCATGGGCTTCCTGCTCGCCCTGCTGTGGCTCATCGACTCCAACGACAACTTCAACGAGACGCTCTCGTGGTTCACCATTGGCAAGTGGATGCTCTGGATCTGGTTCGGCCTCGACGGCACCGGCATCGAGGAGTCGGTGCAGTTCCACGTCGTCCTCGGCCCCGCCCTGATGATCGGCTTCGCCTTCCTGGGCAACACGCTGTTCCTGACCATCCTCGTCGCCATGCTCACAAACACCTTCTCCAAGATCATCGCGGACGAGACCGCCGAGGTGCAGTTCCGCCGCGCCGTCCTGACCTTCGAGGGCGCCAAGAGCGACGCCATCTTCGCCTACCCGCCCCCCTTTAACATCTTCGCCCTCGCGACGCTGCTGCCGCTGCGCTTCCTCGTGTCGCCCGAGACCTTCCACAGGGTCAACGTCGCTCTGATCCGCGCGCTGAACCTGCCGACGCTGCTGCTCATCAGCCTCTACGAGAGGCGCCAGTTCTCGCGGCGGTCGAGGGCCAAGACGGGCTCGTCGCTGCTGAGCTGGAAGTTCGCGGGCTTCTCGCCCCACGGGGACATCCAGGCCGTGTTCGAGACACCGCCGCCGCCGCACGTGGCGGACCTGATTGAGGAGTTGGACAAGCTTGGGGATGAGGGGGGTTCTGTCGCGGAGGAGGTCGTGCCCAGGCTGTCTTTGGACCCGAGCCGACCTATACAGTGGAAGCCGAAGCTGCGGAACGGTGTCCGGGAGCTTGATGATTAAGGTGTTTAGGAGCGTGAGGGCTCAAAGGATGAGTTGTAGGAGGAGGGGGTTCTCTATTAGATTATGTTACCTAGAAAATGAACCCCCCCTTTTCACATCTTTTGCCAACCAAACTATGCCACTCAGAGCTTCCGCACATGCAGGTTGCGGTACCGCGCAACGAGCGACTGCATCTGCTGGAACCCGATCCTCCCGTCCCAGATCGAAGGGCCCGTGGGGTTGTCCTCGTATGAATCGAAGAGGTGCAGGCCATCGATGGCGAACCGGACCACGCTGTAAGGGAACAAGTGGAAATATTCCCTTAATAAACATATGTCTGTTGCAATCTGGCACGAAGTGCCAGCATTGATTGATCTTTTGGGTATTTGCCCGAACGGTCTATGGACGGGCTTAGCACACTACCTAAGTTCCCTGACACACGCGCTTGTCCTGGACGGCCTTGATACCAGCGACGCGGAGGGGCCTCTCGGTGACCCCAGGTCGCGACGTCCGAGGTCGAGTCGAGGGGGTTGCTATAGAGGAGGGTTTCTGCCGCTGCGGGAGTGGCCGCGAGAACGAGAAGCGGGATGAGGACCACATCATGGAGGGGGGGGGGGGGGGGGGGGGGGGGGTTGAAGAGACAGTGGTCACCAAAGTGTTGGTCAATGAACCCTGAGCGCTCTTGTGATAGTGGGACAATCGGGTCAAGGGAGGTTACACCGCGAGGTACGAATGGATCTTCTCCTCTTCATATGGCTTTGACGACGGCATGTTTGCCTACAGCCGCAGCACTCGCTTTGCAGCGCCGGACAGGTTGATGCTACGCCATGATGCTTGAGTGCAGGCAATTCGCTGAGCAATGGAGAACTGGGAGGTTGACAGACGCCCGAACTAGGCTGGGAAGGGCAACTCACCGTCAATCTGCCAATGTTGCCATATAAGATAAACGGTGTTAAACGGCCCTCGGACAGGAACGCATTCCGTGAAATTTTGAGTTGCTTCCTCGGCACTACATCACGTAACTTCGACAGTCTGTGGATAAGTGTTACTGCGGCGGAATTATTGTCGTTAAACACCGCGCCTCGCTATCTTGGAAGCCGTGTCCCCCTGGGCTGTATCTCGAGACCATCACGACCGCGGCGCCGCTGCCGCTGCAGTCCTCAGATGACTGGAGGTAGGATACTTTCACCAATTGAGAGCCGGCGATTGGCCTTGCATCAGGCAAATGAGGCCAAGCTCGGAGTGGATAAGGGGGCTAGACGGGGAGGTCGGCCGGAGCGTTGGGGCCGGGTTGACCCGCCGGGCTCGGGCTTCTCCATTTCGACGTGATTCTTGTTCCGTCAACGGCAGTCAAAATTTTTGTATTACTTGGTCGCTTATACTCTGAAATTGCAGTAACCTGGAGAGTCGTAAACAACCTACACAGCGCGAGAGGCTCGTCGAAATATGGGGCGAAAGGCTTGCTTAAATCCAGAGGGTGAACAAAGCTTTACCACTTTCCTGAGCTGGTCTAGGTTGGCTTGAAGTCGATGGTCCGGTCTGGAATGCGCCAGTGGGCTAGGATGAGCTTGTCATTCTAATCTTTGAGGGCGTTGGATATATGGCCATCTGCAGGTCACCTCAATGCCATGTCACCGTCGTTGAACTTGTATGTATACACATCCGAGTGTTTATCTGCGTGGAGAGTGATTGATGACATGCTCTTTTGTTGAAAAGCCTGCCTTTTATCGCAGCCAGTGATCAACCTTTCAACCAGGCTAATCAAGGCTGAAGTAGCAATAAAGACTATAGCCAACCCTGAACTTGGTGAGAGTAGCAACCATCTCTTGTTGTTATCTCGGATTTTATCACAAAGCTAGTCCTCTACACAAACCCTCATCCTATAAATTATCTCCTCAATATCAAAAAGCGCCCTTGCCATTTTCTCAAGACATGTTAGAGAAACGAGTAAGTATCGTATAATGGGTTGATGCGATTGGACAAGCCAGAGAGTTCACCTGGAGGTGGAGTTAATTCTACGTTCGATGCAACAGTCATTGCCCGGAGCGGGGGTATCACACGACGTCAG